AATATTAACATTTAGCAATCAATTGAAGACAATTCAATAACAACGGCATTCGATATCCAAAGTCAAATGTTTTGTGGGCATATTGATATTCAATATCGCCAATTTAATTAAGAGAAAATTGCAAATTGAACGCTGAGAAAATTTTAGATGTCGCTAGCTATATGGAGGAAAAGTCATGACTATAATGACAAAGCGCATGAAAATCGAGAAAGTTTTGAGAAATATTTTTGGAAAGGGCAAGACAGTTTTGACAGCCAAAATTCTAAATGTATTCCCAATAAATTTCACCAGCAGCGTAAATGTCGTTCTTGTACTTTTGAATGTAACGATATTTTTTTTGATTGTTATTTAATTGATGTGGCAACCTCGTCGGCGCTGCCACCTGAATGGCAACAAAGTATCGATGCTGTTAACACACACACACACACAGCTATCGATATTAAACGTACGTGTCCAAAATCAGCTGCGTCGCCTGAAACAAACAATGCGCTGCATAAATACCTCGCAACTTTCTGCTCATTAAGAAATTGAACTGACGAAATCAGTTGGATTTAGTTGTACACAGCAGACGAACAGGTAGCAGAACAGACGGCAACAATGACAACACCAAGAAAAGTGCGGCGCAATGTGCTGGCCACAAGTGGACTGGGCCTGGCGCTGCTCGTTCTGTTGTATTGGACGAAGCTGACGGGCGGCTACTTTGCGGCTCTCGATGAGGCCGCGACGAACAAGAACTGTTTCTGTGAGGTATGCGGGCGGCAGGAGAAAACTCTCTCCAGTTAAGCGCAACTAGTCCTAATCCCATGTATTTTGCTTGCAGCTGGAAGGCTCCATCAACGATTGCAGCTGTGATGTGGACACGGTCGATCATTTTAATAACATGAAGGTCTATCCCAGGCTGCAGAGTCTGCTGGTGAAGAACTTCTTTCGATTCTACAAGGTGAACCTGAAGCAGGAGTGCCCCTTCTGGCCGGACGACAGCCGGTGCGCCATACGCTTCTGTCAGGTGGAGAACTGCGAGGAGAAAGCCATACCAGAGGGCATCAAGGATAACACCGACCATAGAGACAAGGCGGCATCGTACAAGGTGAGCCAACTATTGCACGTAGCAGGCTTAAACTCTTTATGAGGTACGGGTGTAACTCCCTTGAACAAACATTTGAAAGTCCTCTAATTGGGCTTAAAGCTGTTGGTGATTTTCGAGTGACATAAGAAGATAACGTCTCCGACTCCATTAGGTATATATATATATAGTTGTTATAGCTAAGTCCGTCCTCTTTTATCCTAGGGAAACTTGAAATAGAACTCTCTTTTGCCTGACGATCATATATCTTCCATAGGAGAGATCGGTCGAATGTTAAGTTCTCTTCAAACAAATCCCCAGCTACGAACTTCTTCAAGCAAAGTATTAAATCAGGAACTTCATAAATTCTTCCATCAATAGAGCGTTAACTGTATTTGTTATCAATATTGATTTGCGGCGAACAGGTTACTTTTAAATTACTTTATTATCTTGGTGCTCAACGGGTCTTGTCAAGGGGGAATGCTATAAATTCATGCACTATCTCTGACTTTCTCAATGAACGTGTTGTACCTGTTGTTGTTGTTGTTCTTGTTGTTGTCGACGTCTGCAATATGACAATCAGTGCTTGGCATCTTTTTAAGTTCCGCAAAGCCACTTAATCTCTGGCTGGCTGCAGAGTGATAAACAAATTGTCGCTGGTTCGAACCAGTTGGATTCCTTGAGATTCTGTTTATAATCCTTTGCTTATGCCTTGGCGCCTGACTCTTGCTCAATCATCTTTTTATTTGGAACCATTTAGTGGGCTTTCGGTTCGATTGTTTTTTTTGGCAACTGGTTTGTCTTAAACCCGGCTTAAAGCCTTTAAAACAACTGTTGATATGGAGGCTAGATGACGTGGTAAAGCAGTGCTTGGCGCCCTTTAAACCAACTGTTGATATCGCTGCAAACTGACGTGGCCTGTTGATTCACAAGAAGCAGCTCATTCATACGCCCCCGTTTTTCTGTTGTTAATTGTTTTATTCGGGTAAACAGCAATTGTTGAGTTTGTGTAAGCTTTGTTTGCACAGCTGAAGCATTAAGTCTCGCCTTTTGCATATTTACTAATTGACTTCCTCATTTGTGTCAATTGTCTTAGTATACGCGAGAGGCGCAGGTGGACAGAGGCTGCTCGGAGGCGGAGGACTTTGATAGCGCTCTGGGTTTCCTGGACACGAGCATTAGTGATCAGGCGCACAGGGAGTTCGAGCTGTGGGCGAAGCACGACGAGGCCGAGGAGGACTTTTGCATTATGGACGATCATGATGCGGATGCACAGTATGTCGATTTGTTGCTCAATCCGGAGCGCTATACGGGCTACAAGGGCGACTCGGCGCATCGCATCTGGAACAGCATATATCTGGAGAACTGTTTCGCTGGCAACAATGAGACAGCCAATAAATTCTCCAGCTATATGCCGCATATGGAACTGCGTGACGTGTGCCTCGAGCAGCGCGCCTTCTATCGCATCATCTCGGGCCTGCACTCCAGCATCAATATACATTTGTGCTCCAAGTATTTGTTATCCGAAACGAAAGACTTTCTGGATCCGCAGGGCATTTGGGGGCCCAACGTGAAGGAGTTCAAGCGTCGCTTCAGTCCCGAAACAACAAGCGGCGAGGGTCCGCACTGGCTGCGAAATTTATACTTCATTTATCTGGTCGAGCTGCGCGCCCTGGCCAAGGCGGCGCCTTATCTGCGGCGCGAGAACTACTACACAGGCATTGCCGAGGAGGACGAGGAGGTCAAGCTGGCCATGCACGACATGCTGTCGGTCATTGAGTGGGTATTAAATAAATTGGTAAATAGATTGTCATTAACCTGACTCTTTCACCAGATCCTTCCAGTCGCACTTCAATGAGAACGCGCTCTTCAGCAGCGGCATCGCCTCCATTAAGTTCAAGGATGATTACAAGGAGAAGTTCCGAAATATATCCAGAATAATGGACTGTGTGGGCTGCGACAAGTGCAAGCTGTGGGGCAAGCTGCAGACCCAGGGCCTGGGCACCGCACTCAAGATACTCTACTCGGAGAAGCTCAATTTGGCAACCGAAAGCGGACTGTGGGACAAGCCACACATCGAGGCGGATCCCATCTTCAGGCTATCGCGCACAGAAATCGTGGCACTGTTCAATGCCTTCGGCAGGTGGGAACCCTTTCTAAATATCATTAAAAAAAACAGTTAATAATGTGTATTATGTTTTAGATTATCTACCAGCATATATGAGATGGAGAATTTCCGGCGAGTGCTCAGATAGCCGAAAAGACGTTGACGCCCCAAAAACAGAAAAAGAAGAAGCACGGCACAAATCCATTTCCCTTCAATAGAGCTAATCTGTAGTTAATTGATGTGCGCACATCTATAGACATTATTAATATGGATCTTATTTAACGGTTTCCATCCAAAAGTTATTATTATATTACGGGACAGCAGCCAGAGGCTAGCGAACATGTGTGTCCATATGGCTGCATTTTTGTATATATACAATTGGGAATGCATTAAAACGTATATTCGTAGGCTACTTGTACTTTACTCTACCCTCTATGCGCAAACACAGGTGTATTTTTATTGTAAGTTAGAGTATATATTTATTTATTGTGAAACTATGCCTAATTATACTTAGGAAAAAATAACGAAAAAACCTTGTGCAATAATCTAACGCTGATCGTTTTCATTCAACCGTTAAGTTATTCGGGCGTTGCCACGCTTACTCACATCTGGCAACGCTGCGAGCGCCAACGGAATTCGATAACGATAACAACAATTTTACTTGCCACATAGCAACCGGAGTTTTTTCAATTTAAACAATTGTCGTTAACATCGACAGAAATTCCTAGAAGCATATAAAACCGAAAATAATTCAAATCATATTTATTAGCCAAAATGGTTGTGCTACAAGTTAAACGCGGCGACGAGAATCTCTTTCTGTACGAGACAAGTGTGACCGCAGCCACGGATGCCGTTATACGTGAACTGGTATCGGTTTTCAATGGACGCTTGAAAATTCAGCGCATTTGCATGGAAATCGAGGAGCTGGCCGAGCACGGCACCATGCTCCCAGTTGAAATGATTGGCCTGAACGATGATCAGATCGTGGAGCTGAAACTGAAGGATACCTGGGCAGATAAATGCGTGCCCATGGGCGGCTTTACGTTCAACAAGGATCCGCTGTGCCGGCGCAACGGCCAGCAGCCGAACGAGGCGATGCGCAAGGTGCTCGCCAATGCCATGACCGACGCCAAGGCCATGGTCGATAAGGTATTTTCTAGAGCAGCAAATTTCCAGACTGATCTCCAACCATCCATTTCCTTGACAGAAATTGTGCAAATCCTCAACCGCACTCACGCTGAAGGTCATCGAGGAGGCGCTGAACATATTGCGCGGCGCAGTCACCATAGTTTATCCGATGAAGCTGCCGCCGCACGACACCATACAAATGGAGTTCGCCAACATGGAGGATCTGAGCGGCACCCAGGCATCCAAGGAGGTCATTGAGCCATCGAAGGCTCAATTGTGGTTTGCCGGTCGACAGATTTTAACCGGGAAGCAACTCAAAGAGTATTTGGGTAATAATGACAAGACCAAGGTGAGCGCAGCTCAGTTTTATCTGCTTTACGAACGAGCTGTAGTATAACGCCATCTTCTGCCTCCAACCAGGTCGTGGTCAAGCTGAATCAGCTGGGCGAGGGTCCGCCCGCCCGCGAGCAGGTCATGACCGAGCAAGTGCGTCGCCAAATGATGGCAGCTTCCTACAAACGCCAGGAGGAGCTCAAGGTGAGTGCCCCTTTAAAGTATTGAGTTTATTTTATTTTATTTTATTTGTTCATATATATTTATCTATTAAGTAAAGTTAATCAAAGGTGTAGAAAGTTAAGCTTGCATTGGTGCGTCCCAAAATCTATTCCCTAGCTTTAAACAAGACTGCAAAGCGACTACGAATCGAACCTAGAACTTTTTGATATATCTCCATATGACCCAAAGGTTCCTAGGAAGTCGAGACCTCGGCTGTAACCGGAATATCCAACCCGCAACAATTATCTTTCAGGCTTGCAGCCAAGTTCTTTGATATAAATTTCGCATAGATCAGCTAAACTAAGTCCGAGCATAAGATATCTCCAGTATTTTTTTGTATATTGGCATAGCTACTAAATCGAAAATCGAAAATCAAGGCAAAGTCGGATGCCCCTCTATATATAAGTATATATATTTATCTAGTGAATTCGTGTTGGGTTCTTGATTTGTCGTATTTCGTTCGTACATATTGCTAAATAAATGCATTTGACTCTCGAAGAGCTTGTCTATTAGTTCTCCTGCAAGGAATCTCGAAGAGCTTATCTATTAGTTCTATGGTCCAGCAGGGTAACAAGCGCGTTAATCGTCGTTAATATTCCTTCTATATTCCCTGGAATATGTATAAATTCTTGTCTAAATGCAGCTGACTCTTCCACAGCGCATCTGCTGAACCAAGCGGACAAGGTGGGAGGCTTGATATATGTATTTTGTTCTGTCTATAGTTAAGTTTTTCTATCTGGTCGTATAACCCTTTTTGAAGAGGTTAATTATAAAGCTCTTGAGAGTTACATTGAGCAACTTTCGTTGCCTTTTTTTTTTAGAAAATCTGAGATGTGTGCGTCTAGCGAAAGGCTAACATAAATTTTGATCTTTGTAAATGTACACTATATATATAGGTACGTAAAAAAATGCCCTATAAATGCAGAGGTAAATAGCGCTGAGTTAAAAAATAAGTTCAGTTTACATTGTTGTACACTGCACAGGTCCCTAAAGATTGGTAGAGTTCTCTATATCAAGTGTAGTTTTTTAAGCAATATCCTGAGCTAATTTTATGGCCAGCCTAAGGCAATCTTTAGAGTATAACCAGCGGCTTTTCGGGCACATCACATTTGGCGGCCTTCTCGTCCTGATCCTCTGCTGCTGACTCCTGCTCGGCGTTGCCCGACGCGTCAGTGGGACTCAGCGGTATCAGGGACTTTGTGCTGCCAATCATTTCCTGCGTATCGAATGGATGTGCCGGCTCCGGCTCCGGCTCCGCAACATCCAGCTCGACAGCTGCTTGATGCTCCAGGTCCACCACATCGTCGTCCGTATCATAGACCTGTTCCGGCTGCTTGGCAGCTGCATTGTGAAAGACATCATCATCCGAATCGTCGCCAGCGCAGACGCAACGCATCTTGGCATCGTCGCCCACCTGAAATCAAAGTGGAAAATTATAATCTTTCTCTAGAGGCTTCCACAGCCAACTCACCTTAACGGACTTGGTAATGACGCACAACGATATGGACGAAATGACAAATAGCACAATGGGCACAATCAGCGAGACGACCAGCTCGCGATACACCTTATCCAGATCGTAGCGTGCGACCACAAATTCCACATTTACATCCTGAAACGAGGGTGAAATTCTTAAAAAATCGACTAGGAGTTGCTCAGTATAAAGATTTGTATAATACGTATACTAGAAATTTTTGATATATCAACTTTTGGTAGCGACTGTACTTCGTTGTTTCGCTAACTCTATGAATTCATTCTTTAATAACTTTTGTGTTTATTGTAAGATCGAAATGGTATTTGACGAGCTTAAAGAAGGCATTATAAAGCGTGCATATACCAGAAATCAGAGCAATATATTTTTAAATGAGTCAGTTATGGAAGGGATCTAACGAAACCGAAATACTTTAGGAGGTGCATATAATTATAGGAGAATTTGAATACCCAATTTAGTATAATCTTTGAGAAATGCTTAAAAAATGGATGTTGGAAATCGATATTAATCGGTTTCTCAGAAAGGAAAAGCTTTTGAAGGCCAGAGATTAACTTCTTTCTACATTCCAAGTACTAGAAGTGTCATGCAGAAGAAGAAGTGTCATGGATAGGTTGACTCTATTCGTAAACCTGTTTGAAGTGCTTAAAGAAGACATTATAATGTGTACATATGCCAGAAATGAGAGCAATATATCTTAAAATCGGTCAGTTATGGTAGGGATTCAAAGATAGCGATGTATTTCCCATCTGTGTATTAGTATACAGCATCTAAATACCCAATTTTCTGTCTCTAGGTTTTATAATCTTTGCGAAATGCTTTGAAAATCATGGTGGAAATCGATATTAATCGGTTTCATAGAAAAGAGAAGTCAAAGTACAGAATGTAAATACCCAATGTTCTGTCTCTAAGTTTTATAATCTTTGAGAAATGCTTAAAAAATGGATTTTGGAAATTGATATTAATCGGTTTCTCAGACAGAAGTTTTTGAAGGCCTAAGATACACTTCCTTCGGCATATGTTCTACGATAATCTACACTCCAATTTCTAAAAGTCATCCACACGGACTTGGATAAGTTGACCCAATTCGTAAACCTGCTTGAATTTTTCCTCTTCAGCCTGTTATATTCAAAGGTTCTTTTCACCTTCCACCTATTGCCAATGGTTACGTGTTATAAAGACCAAATGAAACCTGATCCTAGCTACACCTTGTTTACCTTGTTGTAGTAGCATTGATAGCGTGACTGGGCTGTGTTGTTGTCGCCATCGTTGCCATAGCGCGCCACGAAGTCCTTGCACTCGCCGCGCAGCGTGTTGACGCAGCCCTCCAAATTGATGAACAACTTCTTCCACGTGTAGATGGTCAGATTTGCCTGATTGGGCAGAAACTTTTGCTCCGGATCGATGGCATGCGTGCTGTTATCATAGATGGCCCAGAACTGTGTGAAGTTCATAAACGGAGCCGGCAGCGCATCGTGCTCCAGCAAAGTGCCGTTCAGGCAGTCCGTGGCGCTGGCAGGACGAGATTTGGCTATAGTTAAGAGAGAGGATCAAAGGGTATTTGGCTTACGTGATGCGATTGTCCGATTCGCGTGTAACCGTCGCACAGTTGGTCAACAGATTGCCGTCGTCCTCCTTCCAGAATTCGGTCGGTTCGATGCGGACGCCGTGCTCCTTGCCGCGCGCCTCGTTGAAGGCCACCGCGTTCTCGCAGTCGGCCGCAATTACATTGTCCTCCTATAAGATTTGATTAGAGAGAGATATGGGACAACTTTTGCCAGCTATCTCTACTCACGTGCATGATGAGCGTGTTGATGTTGGCGGTGGTTATGCGGGAACAGTAGCGATCGCAGCTGAAGGGTCGCTTGATCTTGGTGCAGTGCACGCCGTGGCACTCGAAGAACCCGTTCAGCTTCGTGTTGTCCTTGGCCGAATTGATGACGGGTCCATCCGGCTTGTGGTGGCACAAAAAGAACTCGGACATGTTCTTGCAGTGGCCTGCGGGGCGAGACAAGGGTTTCAAATGGTTTCAATCTGGGGAAACTTATGCTTAAGCATATAATATGATAAATTAATTATCTATTCATCTAATCATCTTTTCTATCTAATCAAAAACTTTTATATGTGCTCACACACAAACGGCCTCTGTATTTAGGGACTTCCCTTGCCCAACGCTTTAACTTGTTGGGAATTTTAAGTGTCAAGCTAAATGATGCCATTTTCTTTAGTACTTACCATTCGAACAGTTGAAGACGCCGCGAATGTTGTTGCAGACGGTGCCATTGTTGCAGTTAAACTTGTTCAGGCGATTCAGGTCAATCTGTTGGTTCGAGAGGCAGTAAAAGATTAGAATGTTTGTTTGTCCAGTCGGTTAATTCGGATCATAAAGACGCGGTGGCGCCGGGCAAATGCTGCAAATACTCGAAATATTTGCCTTTAATTTGGAGCAACAACAAGACGGAATAGTTATCTGAGGCAAGCCGAAGGATAAATACTCTTAAATATGTGAGGAGTACTCTGAAGTTCGAAATTGTTGAATGTGTTGAAGGTGTCTACAAAAAACAGAATATTTGACCATAAAGAAATTTATTTTTATTCTATTTTCCCATAGAGCTTTACTTAATCTAATTTAATAGGATTTTTCTCATGTAGCAAAGGGAAACTTTTTTAGGATATCTTCGAAACAATATAGTTTTTATTCGACAACTTTATTTTTGATTCGTAATTATTCGTATGGCAACCAATAAGAACGGGTAACTACGACATACCGAGGAATAAATACTCTTAAATATGTGAGGAGAGCTCTGAATTTTTTAATTGTTGAGCTTGTTGAAGAAGTCTTGAAAAAAACAGAAAATTTGACCATACAGAGTTATTTTTGACTGATTTCCCAATAGAGCTATATTTAATCTATTTTTATAGAATTTTGCTGATGTGTGAGAAGCAAAGGGGAAACTAAGTTAACACCGATGAATAAATACTCTTAGTTTGTTAAAAATGTCTTGAAAGTTGTTTTTGATCGATTTTCCTTTAGAGGAATATTTCATGAGGGAGAAGCAAAGGGGAAACTAAGTTAACACCGACGAATGAATACTCTTAGTTTGTTAAAGATGTCTTGAAAGTTGTTTTTGATCGATTTTCCTACAGAGTTATACTTAATCTAATTTTATAGAATTTCGCTGATGTGTGTAGAGCAAAGGAAAACAAATAAACGAAAGGCTTTTTTAGGAGAACTCGAGAAATAAGAGATTTTTATGACCAATTATTCCTATGGCAACTATATGAAATTGTGGTCCAATTGAATTTTTTTATTTCCTGGAACACAAAGAATACCCTACGAAAATTCTTATCAACAAACAGCTACAAAATGAGTCATGCCCAAATCAGCTCAGTTGTTAAAACTTATCCGAAAAATGGTATAAATATATACTTTGTGGTTGGAGATGACTCAATATGTGCGTAATAAAATACTGCATAAAATTGCAAAATATTTTGCAGCAAGAAATTTATATTTAGTGATTAATTTCTCGGACTTACCATGGCGCAGGATGTGTTGGTCACCCGGGTGCAGTTGTTGAGTTGGATATCGGTGCCATTGCGTCGGACAATCGAATGGATTTGCGGACAAAAGCCGCTGGTGCGGGTGAGACACCATTCCCCACAGGAAGCCCAGGGGCAATTGTTGGGCATCTGACGGTCGACGGTCTGGCACATGACCGGATCCAGCTCGAAGCCCGACTTGAAGGCTCTGCGCGGAACGAGCGGGCATTACTATAGGGAATAACTATATAGGTATAAAGTTGGACTCACTTGAGGGAGGGCGAGTAGATGGCCACGCTGAGGTAGACAATGGAGACGCAGGACAGGACCATCGTCAGCTGGCAGAGGCAAATGGCGCGACAGATGCGTTTGTCCTGCTCGGGTATCAAACGCGGCTTATCCTTGCGACGCGCCATGCCAAAGCCTGAACCGGTCTCTCTGCCCCAAAAAGATTTACGACTTGTTGAACTCGCGTTCTCCCTCCCTTTATCCTTGTGTCGTTTTTCAAGGTGATTGGGCGTTTGTTTTCACAGGGTTGGGCTCTGGGCTGGGCTTCAGGTGTTTGTCCCAATTTTGTGTCAACTTTTACACGACACAAATTTGTCCAAGTTGAAAGTAGTTGAAATGCTTTTCTTTCTTCTCTTTTTACTCCGACTTAGTACATTTTTTTTTGTATGGTTTTTTGTTGGACATTTAGCTCGACTTCCGTCCGCATTTGCTGCCTGCTCCGACTTGCAACTGGCCTGGCGAGTGTCCTGGCCAGGGCTGACTAAAGGACTATTCGCGCTGCGCACTTTTACTTTTTCAAGTGAAAACGAAAGTCAATCTCACAAAACAAACCCTTGGCCCAAAGTTCAACCAGCTGGCCCAATTTCGCCGCTCCGACGCCTGCGCAGACCAAAAGCTTTAGCCCAGCTCTCTCTCTCTCTCTCTGTCTCTTTCTCTCTCTCTTTTTCTTACTCTCTCCTTGTCTCTCTCCCTCTCTCTTGGTGAAAACCCTAGTACTTCTGCCAGGTTTAATCTTCAGCTAAAGAGCTATGCAAGCGTACCTTGTGCCTAAACATGATCTTCCTTTGTCTTTACTTAAGGCTCTTTGGCATTAAATATTTCATTTTTTATGGCCTAAACCAGTGGAAAATGGGTGAAATTAGTTTAGAGGTGGGTGCAGACCCAATAAAGTATATACTTTTGAACAGGATGATAAACTGCGTCTATCCTTCGGAAACTTTAAAAGCTAGAGCCTTACAACTTTGAAGTACATAATCTCGTATATCTTAGGCAGTACACGTTTATTATTTATTATTTTTATATCCTTCCACGGTTTCTTAGGGTATAACCCAATAATTACTTGTAACTAGATGCTGTGTAGGTTCTCGTATAAAATACACAAATTAAGAATAATCCAATCTTTGGAGTTCTTCTCCTAAATCCCCCCAAAGTCAAGGCACAATGGTTCAGAGAACATTAACTTGTTGTTAACTTAATAAATAAATGAAATTATGAACAATATTTAGTAGCAGATGCTAACTAGCTACAATTGGGTCAATTACTGGGCTGAGGTTTGATTTTTGAATAAAACGAACATAAATTCTCTTCTCTTTTTATTGTTATAGTGTAATTGTTTATTAATTAGGCCGTTAGCTTGTTAAATTTGTTTATTGATAAAGACACGTTAAGTAAAAAATTTGTAATCATTTTTGCATTTTCAAATATTTTTGTTTTGTCGTTTGATTTAAAAAATTCTCATAAGCAACGTGCGTTAAATCGGTTCTGCTATCAAGCTATATATACGTATATATATATACATATACTTGTTATATGATTCCATTAAATGTTCCATTTTTTATAAGTATTATTTTTTACATAAGATGTTTAAAACTATGTTCAAAATGTCGCAAATTGTGTGTGAATTCTGTTAAATATTTTGAGTATATTGTTTTTTTTGCGTTTTGGTTCCGATTTCTATGGGTACGACCAATTTATCGAATATCTCTGCTGCAAGACAGACTTTTTACTAGTTATACAATTTTGTTTGATTTTTTTTTTTACGAATTTTTACTTAATATTTCGTTTATGACTACTATCACAATTCTTTTTGAAAACAAGCTTAGTTTTGTTTTTTTGTTTTAAGTTTGAGAAATTGAGATTTTATCTATGGGAAAGGCGGAGCATCGCGATGCGTTCAAAAGCAAGCGAAAGTAGAACAAAAGCTTTCAATATTCGAACTCAAGTTCACTATTTAAGATAAATGTATAAAGCATAAAAGTTGTGTGTGAAAATTGGCAATGAAAAGATTTAAATATGTTTTTTAAAGATCTTAAGTTGATTTCAATGCTCCGCTATGAGAAATGTCTCCTATATTTTAATGGCAGATGGCTTTTCTTCTATAATATTTATAAGCTATATGTTGTGTGTATTTGTGTTTTTTTGGTACAGACTACAAAGTTAATTAGCTATTTGTTATTTGAGGATATTAACTAATTTTAATTTATTGCTAGTATTCCATTTCATCCTCTTCATCGCTGTGACACAGAAGTTTGCTAAAAGAATTGATTGGAACAAAGTTCAAAAATCATTTCTAATCAGCGAGTTACATCAAAGCAATATCAGATTAAATACCAGATCATTCAGTTACAATTAGTTAGGTACATGCCAAAAGTTCTATAACTGGCCTATGCCAAATACACTCAGAGAAAATGCAGCTAGATTCGTATTTTAAGCAAGTTTTTGTAAAAAGAAATTGTTAGAAAGTCGAAATTCTTTAAAGCTAGATTCAATGTGGAATCTTTTACTTTTAAAACTTAGTTAAAGCATGAAAATTGTTATTCCAAATCTTCAGTACTTAAACCAAGCCTTTTTTCGGAATTTTCTTTTAAAACAAACTCCATTTTAAGAAAGTTCTTATTTAAAGAAACTCGAAATTCTTTAAAACCAGATTCAATATGAAATCTTTTACATGCATTGAGATTTTTAAAACTTTTTTTAAGCATGCAAATTCTTATTCTTATTCCAAGTTTTCAGTACTTAAACCAAGCCTTTTTTTCGCAATTTTCTTTTAAAACAATTTCCATTTTAAGAAAGTTCTAATTTAAAGAAACTCGAAATTCTTTAAAACCAGATTCAATATGAAATCTATTTTACTTGCAGTGAGAAAATTTTCGAATGCTTAGTTTAAGCATGCAAATTCTTGTAATAAGATTTCAGCACTTAAACCAAGTCTTCTTTTTTTATAATTTTCCTCTTAAACATTAAATCTTTTAAAAGAATGTTATTCTTACTTCTTAAATTAAGTTTGAATAAACTTGTTTTTCAAGATTGAATACTTTTAAAGAAAATGATAAATATTTTGGAATGAATATTCTGAAAATAAAGTTCGATCTTAGATATAGCTCTAGTTCTTTTCTCTGGGTGTATTTATCTTAAAGTAAAACATGCAAAAATCAAAGTTAAATAACTAGAAATACTGCAAACTTGCTACTATTATTTTAGTTAAAAAATATATTTTATATAATTAGATATTTATTTGTTTGGTCGCATTTGAACTGAGCGTTGTATAGTGAATAATATTCAAAGTCTGGACTAGTGCAGAATTTTTGGAGGGATACTTAAAAGTATCTGTAGACTATATATTATAGACTATATCTATATTATGCAGTATATATCAGTTTGTGCTCTTTAGTTGTGGAAAAAGTCTTGTTGAGAGTTCGAATGAGTTTCGATTTAGCGCTCTTGAAGTGCTTTCTATAAAATAAATTGCGAGTTGGCAGCTTGAAGCTGAGCTCGGGCTAATGCGTGAAGAAAATTATTTGCTAAGGACACTTCAGAGTAACTTTTTTTCAAAGCCAGGTTTTTGTGTACTGAGCGTGATCTCCAACAAAGCGATTGTTTGAACTTAGTTTTAATTAAACTAACAAAGTTGTAGTCCATCGACCTAGCTTATAATGAAGGGGAGGGGGTGGAGCACGAAAATTCAGGCACTGTCGCTTTTCAGAGTTATTCAATATACTTTTAAAGTTAACGACTTTTCCATATTACATTTCATGCAGTTAACGATCCTGAAAATAATTTGTACAAAGAGAAAAAAGAAACGTAAAACGCATGAAAAGTCTGTCAAATGGAACTTAAAATCGAGACGAGTTTTACAAACAAACTTAAGATAGAAGATTTCCGAGGCTAATCAGGATTATAGAGCATAACAATTACAATCGATAACAATATGATAGACGATATACGATAAACGATATACGATATACGATCAACGATAACTTTTGACAATCTCAATACAAGGCACAATGGATTATTATAAATATAAAGTATTTTGTGTATGTTTTGGGTATTTTACTACATTACGAGTTTTTTATAGGGTTAGGTTTAAATTTGTCGTATGAGAACACAAAAACTAGATGATGCTTGGCTTGACTGCGGTTGGTTTATTTCAAAGTCAACTCACTCTTCCTTGGTTGGAAACTTTTCGGCATAGACCCGTGACGATTTATTGCACGCCTTCTCACAGCAGGGGCAATACCAATAGCTGAGCACCCCGATCGAGATGGCGAAGAGCACATTCGGTATTATCAGCGAGAGCACCAGATGGTACAGATTATTCTCCCACGAGTAGCGACCGATGACAACCTGCGGATAGGCGCGACTATAATAGCAGGGAAACGGTTCGCCAATGTGAGAGAAGCTGTCGAGAATTTCAAAGAAGATTTAGATACTTATTTGTAATTAATCAGTAGAGCGGAGAGCCTACCCATATTGTCTGGCAAAGACGCTGCAGTTGGTCGTCGGCGGATAGCCGCAACCCTCGGAGTTGATCAGAAACTTTGTATAGCTGACATCCCATTTGACGCGCTCCAAGTCCCGAGGATTGCGCTCCCATTCGCTGTACGGAATGCGCGTATAGTTGACAAACAGCTGATGGCACCTGGCAGAGAGAAACCACAAAGTTACAGTAAAGAATCGTATATAGCCTTCTCTCTACTTACTTTGTGAGTGATGAGGTGCAGCCCTCGCGACACGAACTCCAGGTGCAGTTCTTGATGCCCTCCGCATAGATGTGATCGATGACAACGCAGGTCACCGGCACCGGATCGTAGTCGGCTATGATTGTTGAGATGGCGGGATCCACGACAAAGGGTATCAGGAAGAGAAATGTGAACACCGACAGTATGGCAGTCGTACCTATAAGAGGGAAAGGTAACCCCAGTCGGTTAGAATATGTTGTTAAAAGTGCTTCGGGTGTAAACAAAGGCTGCAAACCTGTTTGAGACTTGATTATGAAGCTATAAATGTGATGTGAAAAACCAGTTTCACGGTTTGAACCAGCTAGACGGTTCTAACTTTGGAAAATCACAGTTCAAACCTAGAACTTTTGATTATGAGAAGACAACCGGCTTTAGGGTTCGAACCAAAGCCGGTTTAAAGCTTGAACATCAACATATGAAACCAGTTTCACGGCTTGAACCAGCTTGACGGTTCGAACCCTGTACAAAGTTCATAGTTCGAACTGTGAACTTTTGATGATGAGAATGAGAAGTGCAAGATAACCAGCTCCAGGGTTTGAACCAGCTTGACGGTTCTAACTCTGGAAAATCACAGTTCACAGTTCAAACTCAGAACTTTTGGTTATGAGAATGTGAAGGGAAGGCAACCAGCTTCAGGGTTCAAATCAAAGCCTTGAGCTTTAAACCGATTCAACCTGTGAAATCAGTTTCACGGTTTGAAACAGCGTGACGGTTCAAACCTTGCGAAAAATCACATTTCACAGTTCAAACCTAGAACTTTTGATTATGAGAATGTGAAGTGTAACACAAACAACTTCAGGATTCGAACCAGAGCCTTTACTTTTAATGGATTTGCAGCCATGATATAAATCGATCTAAATCCTAGAACTTACCAAGGCACACGGAGGTGTAGAATTTCGCCTTCTCGAGTATGCTATCGATTTCGATCTCGTCGCGCTTGGCCTTGATGGCGTCGACGCAGCCGCTGCCCGGCCGGATGGGACCGTGCGATTGGCAGGAGGATCGGCCCGATCTGCTGCTGCTCAGGCTCATTTTGCTGGCCGACAGGGTCTGTGCCGAGAGCGTCGGACTCGTCGGCATCGACGTTGTCGTTGTCAGCGTTGAGCTCTTCTTCATGATTACTTTTTATCGAGTGTGTGTCGTGTGTGTGGATAAAAGTTTTTGTTTCTTTTGGTTTTTTTTTTGTAATTTTTATCACTAAAAGCCTTAAAAATGAACACCGCTAACTTTGCTGCTCGCCGAGCCTACAACAATAAACAACTTTACGTCTCCGCTCTCCCCTTAGCCTAAAGTTACCTTAACTTCTCCTTTTTTGTTAACCCGCAAGTTTCTCTCTCTTTGCTTTTCGTCTTGTCGAAATGGATTTGGTTTTTTGTCTTTAGTCTAAGTCTTTGTTTTTGGTTTTTAAAATTGCAATTGGATTTTGCTTTAATTTTAGCTAAATTTTGTTTGTTAGTTTAACGTTTTTTTTGTTTTTAGTTTTTTTTCTAGTTGTCTTTAGTTTTGTTGAAATCTTCTTAGTTTTGATCACGCATCCCTCCAAACCGTTTGACCATTGCTGATATTATCCGCCTGCTCCTAAGGGCCGATTCTAATCCCCTTTTTGTGGGTGTTGTCTTCATGTGGCTGTGTCTCTGTCTGATTGTGGATTGTGTGTGTGTCTGTGCCCCGTGCATTGAGTGCATTTATGTATTCTCTATATGGATATCAACTTAAAGTTAAATAATCGAATCAACATTCGCCGACGCCAATTACTCTCAGTATGTGGCCTAATCTATCCGAAAAAGATATATATATAAATTATACTAATATTGTCTTCTGATTCTGTTCCGTAACTCGAGAATTTTCACGTGCCTCGCATGTGGTGTAGAGTTTTGTTATGTTTTATATATTTTTCTTTGTGATTTTGCTGTGTTAGCTCAGTTGTGTCCTTGCAAGCCGCTCAGGTGTCTGTGGTCTGTTAGAAGTTCGATGGAAGGATTACAAAGTGTTGCGATTGATAACAATGCCCAACTCCATTTACTGCAAAGCGAAGACGCCCGTCTGATGCACCGGACTGTCTTCCTGGAGCAGAGGAATGCCTGAAAAGCAGAGCGGAGATAAAGGAATTTTATTAGAGGAAGATTCTAACAAGTTATTATATGTCTATTCTATGTTAAGCCTTAAAGATATGATCTAACTTTAGTTGAGTAATATCTGGTAATTGGAGCAGAGTTAAAAGGGAGTTTCATAAGGGAGGGTCTAGGTTGTTCTTATGTGCTGACCATGGGTTAGGCGTTATATATCGCCTGAGGGAAGCCTGAAAAGTAAAGGAGCGAGAGGACTTTTATAAGGAAAGGTGCTAAGGAGGTTCTTATGTATTGAAAGGAAAGCCTGAAGAGTAGATGTGAGAGAGAACTTCCATAAAGAACCTCGCTTTAAGGAGGTTTCTAGGTGATGATCATAGGTTGGGCGTTATATATTGAAGGGAATTTTCAAAGGGCAAGTCCCAAAGAGTTCTTTCCTAAGCGTTCTAGGTTTGTGTGAATTCTTCTAACTCTAATATACTATAATCCTTAAAGGTTGCCTCTAACGTGCATTATCTATCGTCCTGCAACTAGGTGATCCTTAACCTATATTAGATTTACCCAAGGTTGTCAGTTAGGCAAGGCAAATGCTGATTAGCTCCGATGGTAGCACAGATTTTAGAATAGTTACGATTTTCATTATGGGGATGGATTTGGGGTAGCTTACGTGACGGATCTCATAGGGCCATGACTTCGTCGCCACCGCCGCCGCCGCCGGCGGCCATGTCGCCGCTGGTCGGTGCGCCGGCGTTGGTCTTGGACAGAACGGATGCGGTGTCGACGCAGCCCTTGAAACGCATCTTGGCATCGTCGCCCACATAGACGGTGGTCTGGCATAGTATTAGAATCGAACAGGATATCACGAACAGCACCGAGGGCACGACCGAGGCGAACACAAACTGGCGATAGGTGACCTCCAGATCGAAACGGGCCACAACGATATCCTTCTTGGATGGCGAATAGAAGCAGGGGAAACGTGCCCGGGCATTGTGATCGCTGCCATCGCGGCCGAAAACCTTCAGGAATTCCTTGCACTCATCCTGCAGCGTATTGACGCAGCCCTCCAGATTGATCATCAGCTTGGACTCATTCGAAATGGTCAGGTCGACGTCGGGCGGCGCTATCTCCGGCACCTGAGTCGCGACGGACACATGCAAATGGCTGAGATATGTAAAGTTGGTCAGATCGCTGAGCATGCTGTGCTCCAGCGTGGAGCCATTGATGCAGTCGACCGCATCGACGCGATCCGACGTGTTCTTGATGTAATAGCACGATGTCATGGCCACGTTGTCGTTCGACTCGTTCCACACCTCCTCCAAGGTCTCGGCATTGATCGCATTCTGGCATTGCGACAAATACACCTTGTCCCCGCTGAGCACCACCACGTTCTTGTTCCGCGTCGGGATGTCCACGCAGCGCCTATCGCAATTGTACGGCGTGCGTATTTTGCGGCACGTGCCGCGACTACACGAGAACAATCCGCTGATGTCCATGCAATTGATCTTGCCGCGTCGCCCCGAGCACTTTACGGGCGCATCGCTGTTGTGGAAGACGCACTCGAAGGCGTCCGTTATGTTGAGGCATTGTCCGGCCGTGCAATTAAAAGTGCCCGTGAGATTCTTGCACTCGTCGTTGATGCAGCGCGCCTTGTCGGCGCGATCCTGATCGATGCCGTAGCACGTCTTGTTCGCCGAATTCGTGCAGTTCTGGAAGGTGAGATTTGTGCCATTGGCGCGCAGATTCACATAGATCTGTATGCAGGCGCCAGATGTCTTGCTCAGGCACCATTCGCCGCAGCTGCCCCACTCGCAGTTGTCCTTGTTCACCGCCCGCGTCGTTGTGCACATGACGGGCGTCGGATCGATGCCGCTCTTAAAGGCGCGCGTCGATGGCATATAAATGGCGACGGTGAGATAGACCAGCGCCACGGAGCTGAGCACCAGCGTCATCTGGCATATGCAGATGGTGCCACAGATGCGTGTATCCTGCGGCGGCACCACCAAATCCTCCGTGGCCACCTTTTTCTTGCCCATTATTGCGTGCCTGCTTCTGCTTCTAGTTAATCCTCCCTAATCCTCTCCAGAGTTTGCTCTCTAATCCCCTCGAATCCCTGGCGTGTGCCCAATTTATTGGCGCATCTTGTTTCTGTTTCTATCGATTGATTCCACGTCCCACGCAAACTGTCGCCTTGTCGCGCGTTGTTATATAACCCAGAATTGACTTAGCGAGATTACGTTTTTTTTTTTTATTATATGTGTGTGGAGCTGCGGGGGGCGTTGCTTTCAGTTTCACACACAACTTGACTTATTGATTTTTTTTGTAAGTTTTCAATTTTCTAGTTTTTTTTAGAGCTCGCCCCTCGCCAAGCGTGCACTTAATTTTGATAGTTAACGTTTTTAGCAGCTAGTTTTAATTATTATTATTTATTTTTTATTTTTTTTGCTATTTTCCATTTAGTTGACAGCTGCCATTTGCCACTTGCGGACTTGGGCTGCTTTTTCCCTGCCTGGCTTTGCACAATTTTCGCACTGAATTGCCAACTGTTTCTGTCTCTCTGCCAGCTTTATTGCTGCACTCGTGTGCTCGCTGGGCTCGTCTCCATCTCCCATCTCCTGACCGTCGACAATATGTCGCCAGCCCAGCTTTGCTCTCGGCTGGCTATCCAGAAATCAGAGCGATGCGCGCGCATTTTTATTACAAAATCAATAAAACCGCATTCACGTTTTGCACGAGGCAGCTCCTGCTCTCTGCTTGTCTCCCTCCCCTCTCTCCCTTTGCGACTTGCTGGCGCTGCTTTTTCATTGATTAAGCTACGCGTGACCGGGGAGCATGTGCACTACGCCCCCCTTTTGTTGCCGCCCCTTTCCTTCCTAGTTTTGGATGCAGGGCACAGGGACAGGGTCGCCAAGAGCCAGGCGCAGTGGGTGGGCGTGTTGCGAATGACGTCGGCGTCGCACTGAACCAAGCGAGTGTATTTTTGTATACTCTCGTTGAGGGTATTGTAAATATGTCGTGGAATATGTAAAGCATAGGAGAGGTCCCTTAGAGTCTTTATACTCTTGATCAGCATCAACAACCGGGTGGAAGTGTCCTTCTGTCCGCCTGGAATTGGATTACTTTCTTGTTGAGGGTATTCAAAATTTGTCGATAAAGGGTCAACCCATAGGAGAGGCTCCATAGAGTCTTTATACTCTCGATTAGCATCAACAGCCGGGTCCATGTATCTGTCAAGTCCGCCTGGAATGGGATTCCTTTATCTCGTATAGCTGCCGAACCATATCCATAGCCAAAGCAACGCATAGGTGAGGATCTATTAAGTATTTTTATTCTTAATCAGCATCCATGTGCATATGTCCACCCTCAATAAACTTAGCATACTTCCTATTGCAAGCTGTACATATGCTGGAATTGGATTTCTATATCATATAGCTGCCAAAGGAGCACATCCATCTGTCTGCAAGGGTATTTAGTGTGCGGCTATGCGAAAAGAGTTTTCTTTTCTAGTTTTTTTTTAGTACATATCGTGTGCATATAAATATGTATATATATTTGCTCTATATTTGCGCTGGAATGCACATAGTTAACAATTTGCACTATAAATTAAGTTAAGTATAAAAAAACAGACCGACTTGGCCCGTGCTTTAAGAGATTTACACAACAAAAGTAAGAGAGAGAGAGAGAGATGATTAATGCGGCTATGCGGCTTAGCCTTCCTTGATGGGCATGTTCCAGGATTGGGCCACCAGCTGTATCACCTTTTTGCTCAGTCGGGGTCCGATCAGCGGATTCATTTGCGCCATGTAGCAGCACAGCCAGAAGAGCCAGCAGCAGCCCGCGGTTAGCAACAGAATGCACTGAGTCAGCTTCTGTTGCGGTCCCCGGGGCGTAAATATCGAACCGCCAATGCCGACGGCAGCCCACAGGCCGGTGAAGAACAATATGGGCAGTACGGCGGCGCCCATGTTAAAAGTCTATAGAAATATTATGTGCAATTTGCGTAAAGCTTTGATTTTCAATTGAATTTCACTTGTTGGCTGTCTTTGTTATTTTGTTTCTCTCTTTGGCTGACTTACGATTGTTGCTCGCCTATCGATATACATATATCGATATTATCGCAACCAAAGCAGCTGTGCGACACAGTGCTGCCAACTTGCTGCAAAGTGGCCTTATAAAAAGGCGCTAAATTTGAACACAGATTTGCCCTGCCTAGCAATATTTCTAATTGTTATAAATATTAAAAAGATGTAAATAAACAAATGATTCAGTTCATTGTTGGCAAACTTAATGTATAATAATGTGCTGTACATATTATTATATTATATTAAATTATATTTATAAGAGAATATTTGTAATTGTAACGATTTGTTTGGCTTTTTAAATTTGAAAACTTGCTTGGTTTTTGGTTTTTTTTATTATTTTAAAAGGTATTCTCACTGTGTTGGAGCAGTTTTAACCATTAGTTTAACTTAATTCGTCCTACTAATATATAGATAGTATAAAAAACAATGTATTAGGCGAACGCAATCTTGAACTTGCCTAAAAAATATGAAACTTGTCAAAAACTTCTGTAGAATATTGACAAAATTACTAAGTTTTCTACAAGTTTGACGACTTGCCCTTTGTTTGGTATCAGCCCATTGAATAATCAATGCCAAGTGTTATTGAGAATTTCACATTGTTGATTGAGAGACGACGACAATTTGTGGTTGGGTTAGCTTATATATATATATATATATATATGGTTATTCTCTAAATACGAATGCGCTCCTAAGTAGGCAACATTTCTTGTACGGCGAAGGTCAAATGCAGTGAAAGTTGTTTTTTTTTAATATATATTTTAAATAGAATACGTTACTCACATTTACAAATTGTGGGTGCTGCCAGCTATTGAGGTTTATTTACGTTCGCGGACACACACACGCACACAAAGCACATGCTACACACACACACACACACTCGCACACACACACACGCACTCACACGCACACACACAGCACTGACATACACAGGCACATTTATATGCAGCGTCGTTTCATAATGGAAATGCAGCAGGATTCGTTAAATGATGACTTTTTCTTAATACTTTTTATTTTTTAGTGTTTGTTAACTTTTTACGTTGCGCAGTTTTGTTTTTAAGGCAGTAGTAAATTTGATTTGACCGAAACTTGTAATTTGTTCTTTTCGTGTTCTTCGAGCCGAGAAAATTCCAAACAGTTCCAAATATGTGTGACGTGCTGCACGGCTCGCAGCTCACATTTTCCCTGCTGCTGTTTACGCCTGAAATTCTGACATTTCTCGCGAAGCTCTGAACTTTTTTTTTCTTTCTTTCTTTTTTTTTTTTGGGAGAGCAGCTGTCGCTGGGCGCAGGCGCATGCGCGTCATCGTGGCTGGCTTTACGTCATCCATTGGGGTGGCCGCCACTGTTGCTGCTGCTGCTGCTGCAAGCTTTACACACGGCCATAACGGTCACAGCCAGTGTTGTTAAGTCAGCTGTTTTTTTAGCGCTAGTTAGCTGGAAACGGTTAAAATTTGCAGCTGTTTAAATAAATTTTAAATTATTTTGAAATGTGTTGAAATAATGTCAAAATTAGTGAGTAACAACATTTTGCAGCAACCTTCACCTTGGGATACCTTGCCAATTTCAGCAAAAGGTGGCAACACTCTGCCTTTCTCTGTCCCACTTTACCCTAAGGTACACTTTGTTATTTTAATACAGCTATTTTTAACATGGAAAACAGCTAGTTTTTTAGAGATGGGCAACACTGGCCACAACGTTTGAGCGCAAGCTTTTGGGCTCGGTTGGAGCACAGCGACTGCCGCATAGCCCGTACGCTTTCATTGAACATGGCAGCTACATAGCTTGTGCAGAGTCGTGAATGCCGCACGTGTTTTTTTAAGGTGTAGCGCAGCGAAAAGCTCGGGCCGCGCGCACATTGCTGGAGCTCGTTCAGCTGCAGCGTCGCCAGTGGCAGTCCTTTCGGTGAAGAGTTCAGCCGTCGCGCTCGTCGTCGTCGTCGTTGTCGCCGTTCGCCTGCGTCCGCCATTTATTGCCGTCGCCTCTTTGTCGGTCGGTCGAGGCTCCAGCGAAAATGACAAAATGTGAATATGCTCTGTGTGTGTGTGCCTCCGTGTGTCTCCGTGTGTGTGTCTGTGTGTTGTTTTCCTTTTTTTTGTATTTTGAACTTTTGACCCGTACGCAATCAGGTCATTTAAATGTTTTGAAACATTGTAAATGAGCCAGGTTTTAGTTAAACAACTTTTGTGCTGATTGAAAAATGCGTAATCGTAGCCAGAACCTTGAGTAAACAGGCACACACTCACACATGCACACGCTCCACTGCTGTGTGTGTGTGTGTGTGTGTGCCTGGCTCGCACGCAACGCGACGTCACAGCAGCGCAGCGAGACACTTGCGAGCTGAGGCCTAATGTCTTACCAACAACACCAACAACAACAACAACAATGTCATTGGCCAATGCCCGTTATAAAAACAGAATCATATTTGAAGTGTTGCCCCCCTTTCAAATCCGATCGCCCCCCGCCCCCTTTTAATCGTTTGCCCATTTGCCAGTTGGGCTCCATTGAATCACAAAAGCAAATGAAAAATCGTTTCGTGCAAAGCACGAGGAGTCGCCAAGGCGACCCCCTCCACGCCGCCAGTGCCAGTATATTAGCTGCCATGCCGCATAATGTTGCCACCTCGCCCTATATACATGTGTGTATTTGTGTGTGTGTTTGTGTGTTTGTGTGTTTGTGTGTGCCATGTAAGCGTGCCAAATGAATTGAAAATTACATGCGGCTCCAATTTTTATTTTTTTTTTCGCACACCCTGCCCAAACTGCGCGCGACGGCACTGTAGCCAGAGCCAACTCCATTGAAGTAGTTTATTTAGTGCTGCCCATGTGAGCTCATTGTCGCCAGTTGTAGCTGCGCCAGTCCCCCCCCCCCCCTCCCCTCTGCTTCTTCCTTTTGTCCTCGCCTGCAGCTGCTGTTCGGCGGCGGCATATTTCCGTTTCGTAATACTCCGGCACACGAGCGTCCCCTCCTCTTCCCTGTGTAACGCCAAGAATAACAAGTACAACGGCATTTAAATGTACATAGTTGTGGTTACATAAAAATAGCTACAAGCCAATGGAAATGCCACTGCGTACTGTCCCGGAGCCAAAACAAACAAGAACTATTTTTAAACGCATTTGAAGCGCTTACGCGTCGTCTAACGGCATTTCGACAAACCCCCCACCCCTTACTTAACTACTCTACGCACAGTGTTTCAGCTGCACGTGGCCGCACGAATAGTGTGAGGAGCAAACGCAAAGAGCAAAGCACAGAGCAAAGAGTGCAGTGAAATAAATAAAAAATAAACAGCAAAAAAAAAAAGAAAGAAAGCAAGAAAGGAATAAGCGAAAAAATAAAACAACATTTGTCCGTCCAGCATACAATTTTTTTTTTGTTTTGAAACTAAAAGCAACTGTCAACAAATGAACTAAATACCCAAAGCTAAGCAGCAGCAACAACAACAGCAACAAGAAGAAGAACATCAGCTGCAGCAGAAGAGTGAGAAAAGGCCGTTACTCAAAATTGGGCATAGGCAGGCCGTGCACACACACACATACATATAGACGCCCGCACGTACACATGTGCGCAGCCTTTTGCCGCAGTCATAAAATAATCAAGCAAAGGCAAGAACTGAACGAAGGGAGGAGAGGAGAGGAGAGGAGAGGAGTAGCTACTGCTGCTGCTAAAGCAAAGCAGCGACGCGACTGCAGCAACGTCGAAGGCTGCTGACGAAACATCTCCGCTGGGACACATAAAGCAATTAGCAAAGGTTGACAGCACACACACACACACGCACACATACTGCCAAGGCAAGTCAGGATTTGTGGAGTGTCCAATGCCTGCTAACATGCGTGCTCTGTCGCATCCCTGGATTATATTTAGACTAATTGCGCGTCGGGCAACAACAGCGTCTACAACAACAATAGCAACAACAACGCACAAGAACAATTGCAGGCGAAATGCTGCTGCTGCTCCAGCTGCACAGCAGCGGCTGCTGTGATGAGAGCTGAAGGAGGAAATGGGAGAGGCAGCGACAGCGACAGCAAAAGCAACAGAAAGCAAAAGCAAAACGAAACGAAACGTACTCGACTCGCCCTGTGATATAACTGCACCGTAGTTGTAAACGTTAAATAGTAGCTTATAGTTATCGTTATCGTTATCGATTAATAGCTTAAGCCGCAACGTAAGCTAAACAGAAACGGGAACTTCGCAACACTTGATTAACGCTGCTCTCGTGCACCCAACATAATACATATATATAAATATATATATACATATTTAAGCGTAAATATAGTTATACAATTAGTAATAACTAACTCACACTCTCTGCCTGCCCCACACACACACACACACTCACTTAAATTTGAAATACTTTGCTGCGCCGCCAGACCTTGCGCCATTTTGTATAGCGAACCGGAAACGGAACTGCTAGAGCCGGAAATCGAGAAATCGGTACGACAAAAGCCACAGCATGGGAGATGAAGAGAAACGGACCGGCAAAGAGAAGCTACTCTTCTATACGACCGCATTTTTCATACTCCTCGGCACGTTTAGCCTGTTTGCGTTTTTGTTTCTGGTGCCGTTCGTGATCGAACCGGCGTTCACCACGATCTTCATGCAGTTCGAGGAGGTGCCGGCCTTGTGCGAAACGTACGACACGGAGATCTACTTCGGCGCTAAGAACTGCTCGTGGTCGTCGTGCCGTGAGGGCTGCACCAAGGACATCTATACGTGCACACAGATACGCGTTAATTATCGCCTCAATTTGTACAATTTCACGGACGAGTTCAACTTTACGGAGTACCACATCAATTTGCGCGAAGCGGAGCGCGTTGTGCCGCCCGTTAAGCGTACGGATCGCTACGAGCGTGCACTGCGGGATTACGAGTACGATAATCTGGGCGCCGGCGATACCAATACCATAGACATGGACTTGGATATGGGCGCCGGCGCCGGCTCAATGGCCACGGGTCACTTCGAGCAGCTAAATTTCGGTGATGCCGACGGCTCCAACGGATTTCTGATCGAGGATTCGGACGATGGCGCGGGCACACTGATAACCGGCGAGCGTCGGCCCTTCGATGAGATCTCCGAGCTGAACGAGGGCCTCATGGGCAACAATTCCATATATTACTATGTGGGCGCACGGCTGTTTCCCAACGTCAAGGGCTGCGGCTATCCGCCGATGCTGAACTGCACCATTTGGCTGAAGCGCTACACGAAGATTGGCATCAAGTTCCCGTGCTACTACTCCAAGGTGGATCCCAGTTTGGTCATCAGCGATCTGGACTATTGGCAGAACACGCTAAATCTCGTCTACTCCATGGCCATACCCATACCCTCGTTCATCATTTCGGTCATCTATCTGACGTACGCCTACTTCAAGATCTACAACGAGGACGAGGAGACGGCGCCGCTCGACAAGAACGCCGAGGACATGGACATCGATGACATCGATGCCGTCGATGACAGCGACGGCGCCGTCTTGGCGGACAATGCCGCCGGCAGCCAGATCGTCAACATGGACTCGACGACGAACGACAGCTGCCTGGAGGGTGTCCTGCCCAACGGCGGTCCCGGCATGACCAGGTGCATATCGCAAGGTGGCTCCATCACCGCATCTGGCCACTACATCGCCGCCCAGTCGCCGGCGGGCGGCTCACAGATGACGCCCAATTCGGAGATCAATTCGTTTGGCCATCAGCTGAAAGTCCAAATGGCCGACGAATTGTCCAGAGATTCACTCGAGAATGGCGTACTGTCCACGTCGAATTCGGTGCAAGGGTAAGAATCCGTTTATGGATGCGAAGAATTTCCCTTTATCATAAATTTGGGACTGGGACTTTTCGACCAGGGCTGCACAACTAAATAAATTTTAGTTGGTAAGGTTGACGGTTCGAATCCAGTTTACCTGGAAATTGGGTTCCGTTTTAGGTACGCCTGTTCTTTATCCAACTCTTCCGGTTAAGGCTCAGTTTATTGGTATTGAAAATTTGAAAATTCCAGGGTCGAATTAGTTCGTTTCCAAACCGATTTTTGGACTTGTTTCGAAGCTACGTTCACAGTTCAATCTAAAAGATAATAAAATGTTTAGCAAATTCTTGTTGAAGTAAATGAGAATTAAACCCTTTCTTACTTTTTATCCGTTCGGGCTTCAAACTGGCTTGCAGCATCGGGCAACAACAGGGCTTAGGACTTTTCGACCAGGGCTGCACAGCCAAATACGTTTTCGTTTGTGCGGTTCACGGTTCGAATCCGGTTTTCGGTTCAGTTTTGGTTACGACTCCTTATCCAACTCTTCCTGTTAAGATTTAATTTATTAGATTATTATTTAAGCAAATGAATAAAACTTTTTCTTACTTTCTAACGGCTCGGACCGGTTCGAACCGGCTTGCAGCTTTGTTGAACTTACTTAAATTTATTTTTAACCCATTTCGATCTGTTTTCAGAAACTTGAGCAAGACGATGACGACGAGTATCTCAACTCCACCTGGGCCGACGGCGGCAGTCTGAAACGTCAGGCGCATGGTCTGGAGAATGTTAGATTCCGATTCGGAAAATGAGCCGCTGCTCGAATCCTAAGAGATTCCGGCACGACGAAGCGGAGCAGGCAAACTCAAACAGAAACCAAAGTATTTCTACCCCCAAAAAAACAATCGATAAGAACGCATCCAAATGCGAAACGAACCTGAATACCTTCAGAGCTGTTAGAGACACACTTAAAACTATGATAGATTATACTATATATTTAGCTTAACACACACTGAACTGCAGTCACATCATATTACGATAGTTCGCAGATAAGCTTAACTCATTCAATTTCAAAATTACAGTATCCACAAAAAAATACGAATATGAATCTGAAACTCGCACACGAAAGGACGCGGATCGGGAGAGTGTTACTTTAATTGGTACAAATACAATAACAACAAAAGAGAAAATTAAAAGGATGAGAGAAAAAGAAAACATTAAGTACTATATACCTAAAGCAAAAAAATACATATACAAATATTTACTTGAATTATTTTTCTATTCGCAACAATCGAGCTCGTCTCGAACGTCTCGCATACCAAAAAGCAACAAAATAATTATAATAATATAAATAAACTTATAAAAAGTATAAAAAAGGAAAAAACGCGCAACTTATTTACAAGTCAATAAATTGGAGAAGCGCTGCAGATTTTTTTAGATATTGTAATGCTACATTTAAAGTTTATTTAATTAAAAAAAAAAACTAAAAACTATGCGATAAAAATGGACAAAAAAGCCTAAGTATATTTGAAATACATACAAAAAAAAGTTATTATAAATATTATGATAACGATAACAATATTTAATAATAACAATTGTTATCCTTCTAATTAATGCGGATAAAAACTCACAGCTTTAACTAACGGAAACAGAGGCATAAGATTTTTCTTCTACATATTAATTTTTATTAAGATTATATTATATGATAATGATAAATAATATAGGTAATACACAAAAGAAAATGGTTCAAGCTATTCAATTAAATCTTTTAAATAACTTATGCATTAACAAAAGAAATCATAATAATTTAGACCTAAATATAATGTTTCCTTTTTATATTAACGAACAAGAAAAGCAAGAAAAACCCCAAACCCAAAACCGAAAAAGCAAAGCAAACAAAACTAATCGTAATATTTCTAAAAATCGATGCGAATACTCTCAAAACTCGTTGCCTAGGCATAGACGCATTTGCAACGGTAACTGCACCTATTGCGAATAATCTATCAAAATGATATGCAAAGCAAAGCAAAGATACACACACATAGTTTGTTTTTAACAAAAGATATCTGCATGAACACCAAAAACGATAAACTAAACAAACAAGCGCAACTACTAGCTAATATCATGTAAAAAAAAACAATTTAAAATGAAAAACAAATGCTACTAGAATTGAAAACAAAAGCGAAACAAAATCTCGAAAATAAATACGCATTTAGCAGCCTACAGACAAAACGCATTTTTATTATTTGGCTTGTTTGAAAATATGCGACATTTTGCAGCACTAATAAAACGGTCACTCCGGCGACAACAAATCGATATGCACTAATCGGCGATGAGTAATTTTTAAACACTTGTTTTCCAACTGCTTTACACTGTTTTGCAGCACTGCTCGATTGGTCTGGCAACCCTAGAACAGCTGCCTATCAGCTGTTGGCTGCAGCACTCGCCGTGCAATGGAAAAAATTGCTATTGACAAATGTTTGTTATTTTGCAAAAGTGCTTAACAGAAGTGCGCCTTCGCCTAACCGATTAGCACATACATATATATATATAGGGAAATTTAACAAAGTGCTGCCATATTTCAGGCGAATGCAGCAGTGAATTGTTTTTGGTACACTTTTGTTGCTGCCGCTGCTTCTTCTTCTTCTGCTTGTAAACAAATTTCTGTGGGCAGCGTCGAAAGTGAGCGAAAAAAAAGTTGGAACAAATGCTTTTGCATAGCTGAGACACAAAAATGGACAACAAAAAGGACATCTACAATCTGTGGGTGCAGTACACAACCAAGGTAAGCTGCTGCGAGCTTGCTGTTCCGCTTGCTGCGGGCGGCGGCGGCATTTGTTGATGCGGGCGGGGGCGGTGACGTGTTTTTTTTTTCCTTCCATTTTTTGTGCATTAATCACCGCCACAAAGTGGCGACGGCACCTCGCCACAGACATGTTGTCGCCCCCCCAGCGAATGCATAAGTGATTATATAATCACAGCCAGGCTTCAGTTGCCTCCAGCCTCACCCCCCTCTCCCACCTCATCTCTCTCTCTTGCAGAACGACGAGACGTACTTTCGCGAGTTTGTGGCACGTTTTGTGGACATTTGGCGCAGTCAGCTGCAATTGGACTTTCAGGCCGCCAACTGTCCGCTGTGGCACGAGGTGCAGCCGGACAATGGACCGCATCTGGGCCGGCTGCCGGACGAGCTGTTGCCCGCCATTGGCAAGTTTATCATCGTAGCACGGGATGCCTGCGAGACGGATAGCCTGGATGAGCAGGGCATCGAGCAGGTGGCCATATTGATTGACTGCTTGGTTATTGTGTGCCGGCACTTTGACAATATCTTGTCCATCATCAAGTATGAGTACAAGCCCAATCTAATCGCCATACTAACCAAGGTGTTCGCCCAGGTAGGCAAAAAAAAATAAACAAAATTACAACAGATAAATTTAGGTTTTTTCTAGCAAATGGAGCAGCGACGCGCCACGCTGGCCATGAGTCATCTGTTTCGCAGCTTTTCCTCATTCCTGGAGGTCATGTACGATCCGTATCTAACATGGCGCAGTTTTCTACGCGGCCAATTGGCAGATTACGCTCGTCTGCCGTACAAGCCGCACGCGGTGCATGTGGAAATTGTGCCCTTTATCTACGGTGCGTAATTGCTTTGCTTATCTGACGCCACGCATTTGTTAATTTGTTTTTTTTTTCGTTTCCAGACTGTTTCCAGAACGAGGCGCTGCTCGGCTTTGCGGATATCGGCGAGAGCCTGCTGCATGTGCTGGGCGCAATCATTTGCGGCTCTCAGGTAGCGTACAGAGCCGGAACAAAATCTTATTGCTAATTATCTTTATTTTTGTTGATACCTGTAACTTAACTCTGGCACAACAATTGGTTTTTGTTGTCCTCTGCACTAGTTAGCCTGTGTGTATACTCTCTGTTCATTTGCTTCAATCTAATATCATTTCATTTTCATTTTGCTGTCGCTCTACAATAATACTTTCCATGCAGAAAACTCTAAACTTGAACTCAACATATAGAAATACTAACGCTCTAATTAGTGCAAACGCCCCACGCTCGGGTGATGGGCAGCTTCTAAACTGTGATAACTTGGTGAGTGGTAAAACGCTTTTATCATATATTGTAACCTTGTCCCCCCGCATGCCTCTCCACCTGTCTCCACCTCTCTCTCGTAAACCCTTTGTCTATGTGTTTCCATGTATAATAAACTGTCTTCCTTTTGGCTGCTGCAGCGCAATGGCATGCGAGCCATTTGCCCGGCCACGGTCTCCATCATAATGCGCATTCTCCAGCTGTGGGAGAGCGCCAGCAGCCTGCGTCATGTGGCGCTCAATTGTTACGCTCTGATGGTGATTGTGCTGCAAAAATCTAGTCCAGAAGAAGTGAGTAGCTTGCCTCTATTCCAGCTCGAGCAGCTATTTTAAACTCTTTTTTTTTTGCAGCGCCAAATAGACCTAGTTACGTTAATTCAACTCTATTGTGATGCACTGCAGCAGCTGCTGGCGACAAAGCACTTTGACAGCGGCGCCGCCAGCTTCGATATAACCAGCGACACGGACAGCGATGTGGCCATCGATATGGGCGCGCTCTCCGCCAGCGTGGCGGCCGTGCAGCTATTTCTGGCACCTGGCGCTGCGCCCGTCAGCGAGGCCATTGGCGAGACCAATTTGCTGGAGCTGCTGATCGGCCTGCCGCAGCTCATTCAGGCAAGTTGATAGCTGTTCCTTAACTTCCAGCAGGTGCTCACTTTTTCGTTGTCTCTCTACCCGCAGCCTTGGCACATCGCGCACACGACTGCGCTGAGCAGCACCATGGATGCACTGGCTGCCCTGACGCACAGCGCGCCGCTCTGTGCCGAGCAGCTGCGTCTGGCTGGACGCATTGATCGGCTGTTCGGCAGCATGCGCGAGTTTGAAGCGCCGACGACGGCACTGCTCGATGCCTGCTTCAGTTTGGGCTACGATGCGGAGCAGCGTGTGCTGGTGTTGCCCGAGGTCATGCTGCAGCTGCTCCAGTGGCTGCCAGCGCTGCAGGAAGCGGAGCAGCTGCACGTCAGCCTGCTGCTGCTCAAGGGCTGCACGGACAACTATGGCACGTGAGTCGCTGCTGAAAACAAACACAAATCCTTCAAATAATGATGTCTTCTTGTTCTACTGAATCCCAGCAAGACTGTGGCTTGCGGCAGTCGCGTCGTCAAGGTGGTCTGCGCTTGTCTACTCCATGGCGAGCTGCTGGCCGAGGCCTGCGCCCAGAATCTGATCAAACTGATCGAGGAGCTGAGCAAGCTCAGCATTGTTCCCGCGGAGCTCAAGTGCATATTTGCCCTACTGCGACAGGGCAATCAGTTTGCCCAGTGCAAGCAGCTGCAACAGGTGAGCCGTGTTATCTAAATGGAACAGTCAGAAACTTACAGTCGATCCCTTCCAGACGCTCGTCGTGATTGCGCTGCAGAGTCTGCGCGGCAGCAATTGTTGTGCACAGTATTTTGCCATTGAGCAGCCGACGGATGGCATTTTGGTGCCCGATATCAAGAACTGGACACTCTCCGGCGCCTATGGCTTCATCCTGCACATGCTCGTTCGTTTCACTGTCCAGCCGGATCAGACGCAGTCGGGCAGCACGCGTCGCATGCTGCTCACCCTGCACACGGCCAGCGGCTGTGGCTTTGAGGTCTTCGTGCAGCCCAATGGACACGTTGTGGTGGCTGCTTTGACGCGGCGCGAATACCTGACGACGGCGACGGCCACCAAGACGCTGCTGGACGGCCAGTGGCATTATCTGACCGTGGCCATAACGCCGCCCAAGCGGCCCTTCTCCTACAGCCAGATCAACATCTATGTGGACTTTGTGCAGAAGCTCAGCGCCACGCTCAAGGTGCAGCCCGTCAACGAACCCTTCAGCGTGTGCGGCATCGGCGCAGTGCTGGCGGCGCCGCCAAAGCCAAGTGATGTGCCCAAAGGTGGCTCCCTGCCGCGTTCCTCTTCCCAGGAGAGCGGCCACGCCTACAAGGGCATGCTGCCCAGCCTGCTGGAGCGCACGCTCTCCACAAACGTAAGCTCCTCCCCCCTTTGGGAAATTTTGGAAATAATAAAACTAAACAATTATCCTTTTTTAGGTTTCCAACTATTTCACGCTGCCGCTGCGCACGCAAACCGCGTTCGATCCGAATGTGAAGAACTTTCCCATTGGCATGCAGGACACGGTGTTTGGCGAGCAGGCCTGCCTGCAGGGACATTTGGGCGGCGTGCTGCTGGCGGAGCCAACGACCAGTCTGAAGACGATCTTCGATGCGGGCATTAATTTCAGTTCCATCTTCTCGCAGGATAACGATCTGTTGGAGCTGAATTCGCGCTTTGTTTTCTGCTATGCACCCGGCGCCGTTTGGCACGGCAGCTGTCAGGATCTGATACCGGGTGGCAGGTTTCCGGGCCGGATCAGTGCACAGCAGTGCAAAACGATCAAGATACAGGACACCATCAACAGCATTGGCGGCATCAATGCCATACTGCCGATGCTGCATCGGCTGGTCAGGGAGCAGGAGTCGGATGTGTCCATTGGCAGCGATGACTCTGCCGATGACTCTGCCGCGTCGCCGGCATCGCTGAGAACGCCCATTGCCGAGGAGTTCACCGACTGGGAAATGCTGTCGTCCAACTCGTACACGGAATGCAAGATGATACAACATCCGCTGGCTAGCCTGCTCTGCCTGCTGCGCTATCTGACCCACGAGCACGAAAACAATCAGCAACAGCTGCTCAGCAGCGAATGCTTGGCCATCATTGGCACGATGTTGCAGCGCTGTCCGCCGTCCTATTTCGATGTGAACGCCCTGATGGCCACGCATCTGCTGATGGAATCGCTGCAGGGCCACAAATCGACGCCTTCGGCTGGCAACGCGCAGCTGCTGGATGCTCTCTACGAGCACATTGTCTTCGACTTTGCCATTTGGTCGCGTTTGCAGTTCCAAATAACGCTGGGCCACGCCCAATACCTGAGCGCCATGATCAAGAACGATCGGAAGTACTTTCGCCGACGCTACGGCGTGCAGTTCATGCTGGACGTAGTGCGTCAATATTACAGCACGCCGGATAACATTTGCAGCGATGATGCGCGCACAATTCGTGCCACACTTTTCAGCATCGTTCGTTTCTATTTGCAAAAGGACGTCAACATCAAGGAGGTGAATGCGATTATTGCGTTCCTGGCATCGGTGCGGCAGGAGCTGGTCCTCGTCGAGCTGCTCGAGATGATGACCAACTATGTGCGCGGCAAGAACTGCAAGGATCAGATGGTGCTGCTGCTGCACGAGCCGCAGAGCGCCAATCTCATCTACAATTTCTTCGTGGACAAGAGCTACAACAGCGAAATCCAAGAGGCCGCCATACGAGTAAGTGCAGCAATAGGAGGTCAACTGGCAATATGCTAATCTCTCTCCCCCCTTCACAGTTCCTCGGCGCTTTGCTGGCCACCTCGCGTGTGCATCAGAAGTACAAGCAGGTGCTGCGGCTGTACGATCAGAGCAGCGATCAGAGCATGTTTCCCGGTTTCTTCTCCTTCATAACGCCCATGTCGCTCAGCTCGACGATATTGTTCTATCTGGTGGATGAGATGCTGGGCCCACAGCCCGACTATGGCGGGCTCATGTTTGTCGTCTATCATGTGAGCAGCTGCGATCTGCAGGTCAAGCTGGAGATAGCCCGCCGGCTGCTGCAGACGACCTTCGTCAAACAGCATTCCACTGCGGCCATCGCCAAGCAGACGGGCTGGCAGGAGTCCATCGCCCGGCTCCTGATACGCAAGCCGATTACGTGCGTGCCGCCGGATGAGGAGCGTCGCCGCAGCTTTGGCATCAATATGGATGTGCTGCTGGAGGACAATACCAGTTTTCTGGCACAGGCCGATCTGATTACGTTCTCGGATCAGGAGATTAACCTCGCACAGCTGCAGCAGCAGCAGGCGCAATCGCAGGAGGAGCACAGCGACAGCGGACTCATACTTAACGAGATTCAGGCCAGCGTCTCCGAGGCAGCCACTGTCATCGAGAGCGAGATTAAGGGTGAGCGCAGCGAGAAATCTTACTTGCACTTTATTAATCCATTTGTTTATTTTCTTAAAGAACTGGCTGAGTCTGTCTCCGGCGCCGTTGTGGAGAATGTGAACAGCGTCTTCTCTGTTCTACGCCAGACAACGCACGACATTCAGGACACCTTCGAGTCGCTCACCTTGGGCAGCTCCACGGAGACCGACAATACGCCAACTGCCTCGCTGCACCGCGAGGAGTCGCTGAGCTCCGAAAGCTCCACACAGTCGCCGCACGGGCCGGCCAAGAAAAGCGACTCCATGGAGGTTGGTTTTCATCTAAATACCATCTCATCTTGAACTAATCTACCTCCCGTGCAGAGCACCACCGGCTTTGATTTTATGGCTGAGGGCGATGTGGACACCGAGGAGCAGCTGGTTTATTTGGTTTCGAATACGATGTTCAATGTTTTCTGGCGCGGCATTGCCAACGATCATCCGCAATGCTGGCAGGAGCGCGGCCAGGTCCTCGGCTGCATCAATCTGTTGGCATTGAACAACGAGCTGATCACCTCGCATCTGTCGCTGCGTCTGCGCATCCTGGAAATGGCCGTGCAGGCCTCACTCTTCGACCTCTCCGAGCATGGCAGCCAAACGCATATCAATCAGGAGGTGCCTTTACCTTAGACTCAAGCATATCTGTTGCTCCCAGTTCTAATTCTTTGCTCCTTTTAGAACGCCTCCAATATTCTGCGCATGGTCTACGAGCTGGTCGTGCTGGGTTCAAACGAGGATGAGTCCAAGAAATGCTCCACCAAGCTGTTGGATGGCGTGCTCGCCCTGCTCGATGCTCTGATGATATTCCAGCAAGGCTCCTCGGACGATTGGTCGGACATGATACGTTTATATCTGGGCCTGTTGCTCAAGTGTTCGCATCATCCGAATCCCGGCATCGTGGCCATGGCCACGGCCAAACTGCATGCGATACTCCAGAGTCGTGCCACCGAGGATCCCGCGGAGCTTTCCTACTTGCTCTACAGCATCAATCGAGCGCTCGACAATGCCATCGAGGGTGAGCACCCGATTGAAATTCCTCTTCAATGTTATTCTAACATTCGTTCGTTCAATCCCTTTGACAGTTGGCAATCCGGAGGAGTATTCGTTTCTGATGCCTGTGATGAAGGCGCTGCTGGAGAAATGCCGCTCCGCCTTCAATCTAGACACAACACTGCCCGATCTGCCATCAACATCGTCTGGTCCAGTATTCTTCAATGATTTCCAAATGTATAGCACGAGCAAAAAGTGGCGCAACTTTATGGAACGCATGGTAAGTCGAAGTATCCGATACTTTAATAATTTGTGGACCTAAATCAGGACAAAATCCTCACTCTTAGGTGAGACCTTTAAAAAAGTAAATTATCTCAGATATATCTACCAGAAACTACATATCAAATTATATCATAACAGCTCATATAATTTTTATCATTTAATTGCTTAACTTATTCGAAACTTAGATTTAAATTAAGATAGTCTTACCAAGGACAATATAGACACTAAGGTGCAACTATGCCGCTTGATTTGTTGAAAATTGAGAACAAAAACGAAATCAACTGAAAAAATAGAATGTACTCTGAGCTTCGGCTCTCTCTAACATCTCGTGCTTCTTTCTCGTATCAGCATCAGCAAGCCGCGACTTCGGCATTCGTTCCGTCTGGCTTTTGGAGAGCGAAGCGCCAGTCGGCTGGCATGTCGTGTGAAGTGGGAAAAGCCAGATGAGAAGCCAGGCTAGAAATTTTGCGTCGCATTCAAGTGCATGGGAGCTACTCATCTTAGTGTTTATATTGTCCTTGGTCTTACGCATTTGATGCCAGTCCCAGTATTGATTGATTCCCCCCCATGCTGAACTCTCCGCATTTTAGTATAGTTTGTGATTTTTTGGCAAGTTCTGACGCAACAAATGGAGCTTTCGGTCCATTTCCCGATCGCTCAGGGGACTCTTGAAGAGCGTCGTATCGAAGACGCCTTTGGTGGTGCGCTTCGGCGTCGGATTTCGTTCCGTGCCGGGCTGTAAAGCTAAAGCGTCACCGCCGCCTCGCAGTTGTGTAGGTCGGCGCGTTGGCCGTGCACCACGCCCCCCTGGCACAGAGTACTGTTGTTGGGTGGGCGGTGGAAGGGTTCCATCGTAATAGCTCTGGGAACGTGACTTCTCGATGGTAACCACCGTGGAGGCCGTCTCGGTGCTGGGGCTCGGACTGCGACTGCGAAAGCGCGAGGTGCCGCGACTCCTGCTCCGACTGGCTGGCGTAGTCGTTGCCACGGTGGGAATGAAGGCATTGATGGAGGTGGTGCGCACGCGCATCGGACTCCAGGGCGCCGCTGTGGTCGTCGTCGTTGTCGTTGTCGTTGAGCGAGTTACAAAGTTCAAATAGTTTCTCTTCTGCTCCACGTGGCGGGAGCCGTGCGCCGCCGTATCGAGCTCGGTGCCGCGAACATGCACATGCGACTCCGCATCGTAGGCCTGCTGCAGCTCCGGCACGTCCAGCGTGTGCTTCTTGGACACGACTGCCGCGGAGGGTCGACGCTTGCGCTTCCGGCTCTTTGTCGGTGTTCGCGAGCTGCCCGCAGCATGTGCATCATCCGGAGGCAGCTCGTTGGGCGTGCTCTCGTTTAGTATGGGCGGGAATAGCTCCTGCTCCTCCTTGTTGGACGCCTCGAAGGGTATCGGGTCGTAGATGGGCACCTCGTAACTGGACTTCGGGAAGTCAAAGCTCGGGAACTTGTGATTGGGACTGAGCGGCAATTCATCCGCCGGCGGCGCATAATCCTCCTGCGGATAGCTCTCGATGGGTAAATGCGTGTCCGGTTGGCCATAGCTGCCAGGCGGATGCTCTGGTGGTGGTTCCGCAAAATCTTGGGGTGGACCTTGATAGTCATGGCCTGGGGAGGGCGCAGGTGGCTGATAGTCATGACCTGGGGATGGACCTGGTGTCTGATAGCTATCATGGGATGACGAGGAAGGTGGTTGATACCCATGACCAGGAGAAGGTGGTGGAGGCTGATAGCCATGACCAGGAGATGGAGCTGGAGAGTGATACTCATGACCAGGAGACGGAGCTGGAGAATGATACTCATGACCAGGAGACGGAGCTGGTGGAAGATAGCTCTCGTGAGACGACGATGGGGGCTGATAGTCATGACCAGGAGGAGCTGGTGGCTGATAGCTATCATGAGACGAAGATGGGGGCTGATAACTATCATGAGAAGAGGATGCTGGCTGATAGCTATTTCCAGGAGAGGACGATGGATAGCTGGGCTTATATTGCGGCTCATTGGCCTGATAGGAAGTGGAGATCTCGTAGGCGGGCGGGGAGTAGGATATCTCAATGTTGCCGGAGTGAGTGGGAGGTCCACGGGGCGGCTCGGCAAAGCTGTGATGATAGCCAGCATTGGGAATCTTCTGCTCGTAAATGGAGTACGAGTCCGGGGCTGGTGGAGCAGCAGAATGCGTAAAGCTGGGCACGTGAGGGACACCATACTTGGTGGATGGAGGTCCTGGCGGAGGCGGCGGCGGCTCATAGTGCTGCGGTACAAAGGATTCGGGTGGTTCATAGCTGCTCTGATGTTGCGGCGGAACGCCGTATTTCTGGTGCGGCTTGTGCTCGTAGGCGGAGCTCGGCGGCGGCGGCGACTCGTGGCCGCCCGTGAAGCTGTACTCGAGACTGGGAAACTTGTGGGCGCCATAGAGTTCCGGCTCGTCGTGGCTGTACAGATCCAGATCCATGGACTGCGCCTCGTAGCTGGAGGCGGGTATCTGAAAGTCGGCGCCATCAAATTTCAGATGCTGGAAATCCTCCAGCGAGTAGCTCGGCTCCTCGGGCTTATAGTAGCTTATGGGCGGTCCCGGCGGATAACTGGGCGGTCCGTACTTGATCTTGGGCGGAGGCGGACCCTTGTTGCGTCGCCGCTGCTTGCTGCGCTTGCGCAGCTTAAACGGCGGATGGCGTCGATATCTAATTAGCTTCTCGGCATTCGGCAGCAGATCGCTGCTGTTGCTGCTCCCCAGCTGCGTCACAGTCGTCTCATTGCTCGCACTCTGCTCGCCCAGCGTCAGTGGAAGGTGCAGCAGCAGCTGAAAGACAGGAGAAGGATTAGAGATTTGTGTGTGGTACTTTATGGCTGTGGTTCGACTTGTCTCAGCCACATATTGTTGGAGATGCAGTCATGAATATAATGCTTTGGCTTTGACAGTGCAATCCTTGTGAAAAAAGATTAGGAATGGGGGAGATACCCAAGAAGTAATATATACTAAACCTGTTTATGATATACAACAACCTACTTTCCACTTTTGGCGTATCTAACTCTTATAATCTTCTAGTTCTACTTAAAAAACTAAGTCTCAAAATTGATAATGATCGATGCTACGTGAATGGGAGGAGATAGAAGAATATTTATAAGAACATAAGCTCGTTCTGCTTATGGTATAGGAGAAGACAAGGTTAGATCGACGGAGTTCTGATCGTCCTTATTAAGAATATATACATATGCTTAAAAGGGTTATAGATATGCTTCCTTTTTCTTTGAACCAAAACCTAGAATATTGGATGTTGATAACCGAACTGAACCTCAGGGCAGGAAGACCGAAAGGTTGAAAAAGATTCCATTTCCTTTAAACCAAAACCTAGATTATTGTACGTTGGTTGCCTGGTTCACAAACGGAATCTCAAAACAGGATGTTGGTTTAAGCCGCAAACCGAATCAATAGGGTTGGAGAAGCTTCCCTTTTCCTTGAACTAAAACCTAGATTATTGGACGTAGGTTGCCTTGTTTACGAACTGAACCTTAAGGCAGGCAGTTGGTTTGAGCCGTAAACCGAATCAAAAGGGTTAGAGATCCTTCCTTCTCTTTTGAACTAAAACCTAGGTTATTGGACGTAGGTTGTCTTGATAACGAGCTGCATCCCAAGGCACGGAGTTGGTTTGTGCCACAAACCGAATCACCTACAATTTTGTTTTGCGTTTGCAGCCCTGTCGCATATGAAACTTTCACCCAGCGACTATCAGCCGCAATTTGGCAACATTTTGAAGATGTCAACCTTTGACTTTCAACCCGTCTCGCATGTGTTGTTGTTGTATGACGCAGTCGCTGTTGCCACTGTTGCTGCCAGAGCTGCTGCTTCCGCGAACACGTAACGCAATCACGAGACTTGCTCCCTGCTCAGTGCTCTTCGCCTCCTCCTCCTCCTCCTCCTCGTGGCTGCCATCGATTGCCGGCTGAGTGCCTGGCATGCGAGCATGCAACAACACTTGCAACCAAGCCGCACGCAACAGCCGACAAGTCGTTGCCCAGCGGGAGAAGGGGTAGAAGGGGGCAAAGCATTGAACCTCAACATTGTCGTCACCAATTCAGGTTCAGCGGGCATCGTAATCCGTTTTGCTGTGCTTTTGTTTTGTTTTGTTCACAGTTTTCCTAACCAGACAATGGCCGCCATGGCTGGAGGCGTCCTAATGAATAGCTCCAAAAGGCGCAATGTACGCAAAAGTTGTGGGTGTTGAAGCAATGGATGGATAATTGACAACCTACTTGACTTGTTCAGCTATTACGTTTTGAGCTAACTAAATACTCTTACTTTACTTTATCTGCATAATTATTTTGTTTAGCTTAGGTTAAAAAGGCAGCCTGAGCTAGTTGTCAAGGGGGACAAGGACTACGGGTGAAAACTTCCATTGGCTGAGGTACTTTAGAAAAACTAAACCCAACTTAACTCAATCCCTGCTGAAAGAGTTTAGACAACAACTAGATAGTTGTTTATTCCTGCTACTAACAGAAATAGGCAGAAAGTTTAGGATTATCTAACATCCTACAAAGTAGGTATTAACTAGACTAGTCCCTGGTCGGAATATCTATTCAGAAATAAGTATTTGTATTTCACTTGACGATCTTTAAGCGATATTATTTAGATTTTATAGATGTCCATTTTATTTAACTTGAAGTTTTTTTATATTCACGCGATAAATTTACAACTCTAGGTTTGTCTTCTATTTCTCCTATAGTTCTTTTTCTCTTTCCTTTAACAATGATTCCATTCCTATTTCCATTGCATTTTTCTTCTTGTTCTTTTCTCTTCACTTCACATATGATCCCTTTTCCCAGATCCATTACAACTTCATGTTTTCTTGTATTTAACTTGAAGTTGTTTTAACTTCACACGATATATTTACAACTCTAGATTTGTCTTCTATTCCTTCTATAGTTCTTTTTCTCTTCACTTCACAGATGATCCCTGTTCCCAGATCCCAAATTTATATTTCCCTGTATGTCACTTGCAGTTCTTTTATTTTCGCTTTAACTATGATCCAATTCCTAGATTCTTTACAACTTTAAATGTCCTTGTATTTAACATTAAGTTCTTTTTCTCTTCACTTGACAAATGATCCCAAATGATTCCCAGATCCCAACTTCATATTTTCTTCTACTTCACTGGGATTTTTTTTATTTTCACTTGATATTCTCTTGGATTGCCTTTGCATTTCACTTGAAGTTCTTTTTTATTGTCACTTGATCTGTGACCGCACTTACAAGGCACACGCAGAGCCGCATTAGATGAAACATTTCTCGAAGTTTTCAAGGCGTCAAGCTGAGCAAAATGCGAACAGTAACAACTTTCATTGGACGGAGGCAACGTTTCGGATGGTCTCTTGTTGTTTTTGTTTCTTTTTATTGGAGCTCTACTATAAACGCATTGGCGCGCACCCGTTCACGACTCGTTGGACTTTCTTTCGGCAACTGAGCGCGCGCCAAGAAAGTGGTCTGGTTTTGTTGCCGGAGACAGCAGAGACGAGACTTTGTCGTCGTCGTCGTCGTCGTCGCCAGCTGCTGGAACCAGTCGAATGACAAAGCGTTGCCCATTAAAGCGCCCAGCAGAGTGCAGCCCGGCGCAGCGCATCGCCCTGGAACAATCGCCCTCGCCCTCGGTGGAGCAAGCATTATGTAAAGAATGTCCAAATGCGGATATCTCTGCCCAAATTCAATACCAAAAACCAAAAACTAGACATTCGTAGATCGTCCGATTCGAGTAAAACTCGTTTCGACTGCCAAAGGCCAAACTGCATTCGAGCTGCACGAACGAGCGGCGCTTCCTCGAGCGGCAGCATCTGCATCCACATTGAACTTGAACCTGACCGGACGTCACGTCTGCCGTCTCCGAGCGAGTCCCGCTCTCCGAGTCTGACTTGGAGTTGCACTGAATTGAATCGGACAGAGCAACTGAATGAAAGCGAAAACAAGTCGTGTGAAGAAGAGTGTTAAGCAAATTAGATACCCTAACTGAAAATCAAGAGAGGTCGAATTTTGGATAAGTGAAGAAAGGTTTGGGTTCAATAAAATCTTCCATGAGGTGGTAACGAAATTTGGTGTCTGTAGCTTTTATATTTTCTGAGATCAGAGCTGCAAATCAGTTGGAAAAATCGGGGGGAATCGGGTGAAGCTGTTTATAAATCGATAAATACTGATAGGCTCTCAGATCGATATGTTTAGGCTCTGAGATCAAAAGTGAAACTTTTCCTCCTTCAATATGCCCTTTTTTATATTATCTGAGATATGCTAAAATATCTGAAATGAAAATAAGTTTTTATGTATGGGGGGAATCGGATGGAGCTTTCAAAATTCGATAGATATCTAACAGACTCTAAGATCGATATGTTTAGGTTCTGAGATCGATATGTTTATGGAAACTCTTGATGCCTTGATCAGGAAAAAGTGAAGCTTCTTCCTTAATTTTTCCCAATTTGTATATTCTCTGAGATATGCTTAAATATCAGAAATGAAATAAGTTTTTATATATGGGGGAAATCGGATGGAGTTTTCAAAAATCGATCGATATGTTTATGCAAACCCTAGACGATTTGACTAGAAAAAAGTGATGCTTCCCTTTATCACGTCCTCTGGGATATGCTTGTAAAATAAGAGCTGAAAATCTTTTTTATGGGCGGAAATGGGTAGAGCTTTCAAAAATCGATAAATTCTGAGATCGATATGTTTTGTTGACTAGAGAAAAGTGAAACTTTTTCCTAAATCATTCCCTTTTTTAGGGATAAGTAAATATATAAGGAAGGTCCATTTACCAGGCTTACAAATATGTGTCTGCCTTATGGAGAAACTCAAGCCTGATTCTGTCTTTAAGCTACATTTCAGTATACCCTCCTCGCACACATTAGACACGGTATAACCGGTCTGCGTTTGAGCCTCAATTAAAAAACCGTCTCCGACTGACATCTGTCAAATTTTTTGCGAATATTTCCAGGTGAAGCCGCTTTACGATCGCTACCAGCGCGAGATCGAGCTAAATCTGTGGGAGCCGATCAATCGCTTCTGGGCCGAGTGCTACGAGGCCTGCAAGGCGGCGTCCAAGCAGCGGGCCAGCTTCCAGGCGGCCAATCGTCGCGTGTTCCAGCAAAAGATCTATATGCCGTGGAAGGTGCGACAGGTGGAGGAGATGCAGCGCCTGCAAAATGCTGCACTGCAGCACAAAACCAACGACAGTCACATACGCAAGAAATGGAAGACAGCCAAGCGCTTCCTCTACGGTCCCCGGGGACCCTGGTTTACGGGGTAAGTCGAACCCAAAAAACAAAAAGACAAAACCCAACTCCATAATTATGATTATTAATTATGAAATCACGAACGAAAAATTGAGCATTTTAATTAAGGCGACAATTGCAAATGGGACGTAAATGATTACATACATGAGGCCACATATATATGTTGCATATATAATATATATGTAATAGCTTGTCAGATACACTTATATATATATATGCCCACACATAAGAGCTGCGAGCTGTGAGCCACGCTTTTGTCTTCATTTCACAAATGCACTCATTAATTTGTTGTGCGCGTGTGTGTGTGTGTGTTCAGTCACAATGGGTAGAAATTGCTAAAAGTCGTTTGTTATTTTCGTGTAACACATAAAAATATCCATTTCGGTTTCACTTTCTAGCTTCAAGCTTCGGCTTGATTCATTAGTGTTTCCTATTTTATAGGGCCGAGTTGTATTGCATATTTTTTAAAGGTCATCGAACCGATGCGTTTGGCTGAAAAGTGATCAAAATGATTGATGGAACTAGGGTATTTTTAAAGTTGTGCAGTTTTGTGTGTAATAGTCGAGCTAAGCTCTGCTACAGTTATGTGTGCTTGTCTATGCGTCTCTCTTAGTAGATCAAGTTTGTTATTATCGATAAGTCGTTAAGTTTGCTCAACATCGATAAATATCGATTTACAGCTCCGTTTTTTACAGCTTATCTGAGAGACTTCAGGGGCATATAAATAAAATTTGTGGTACACTTTCTCCCCGTGCCACTTGCAGCCCAAAGATCGATAAATATCGATTTTCAGCTCCGTTTCTTATGCATATCTGAGAGACTGTAGAGACAGAAATACTTAAATTATTTAATGCAAATAGAACTACGCCACACGCAGCTTTATTTAATTATTTGTTTTTCAATTGGATCACACTTTTCCCAAAGATCGATAATTATCGATAAGCAACCACGGTTATTGATGCTGTGATGACTAAATTAAGTGTGTAGGCCATCTAATACTATAAACAGACAAAGATTATTTCACTTTTTGCATAGTTTTGAGAATCGATATATATCGACACAGACTAAGACTAAACCTCAACTTATCGATTGTTACTAAAAAAAACCGATTATTTACCTTCCGATTATAGCTGGAATTAAAGCGAACTTCTTTATTAACTATCTCCCATAGTATGCAAAGAATTTCAAACATATATCGACAAAGACTGAGACTAAGACTCGAGTTAAGACTTATCTTTTGTTACTAAAAAACGCCGATTATTTACCTTCCGATTATAGCTGGAATTAAAGCGAACTACTTTATTAACTAGCCCCCTATAGGAGTAAAAGCTCAACCGGTTAAATTTGTTTAAATCTTTATACAATTCTGATTAGGATCAGCTTAATATAAAATAATCTCCCTTCAGTTTATCACGATTTTATTCACTTTTTGATAACTTTCCGCCCATTGTACCAGCTCAGTCTGTCAATTGTTTGAAGCTTTCGCTACGTTCGGGCGCCTCATCAGTTGGAGCGCGATTAAAATTACGATTTAATTTTATTAAATCATCAAAAAGGCATTTATGCAATCGCAAAATGTAATACGTACGAGACGTGCCAGCTAATGCATAACTGACCCACCCAAGTGGCACCAACAAATCAAATGGAAAATGAAAAATGATAAATGATAAGTAGAAAAAAGGCTCAGCTCGCAATTAGCGCCAATTTGATTACAAGTAAATACATAAGCAGCTTGGCCAATTGTCAGCCTTGTGCACAATTTGACTGACGGTCAAAGCTAACCAACCAACTAAACTGAATGCTGCTTGTTTCGGTGGCAATATTCTAAGGTCGCACCACTCACGGGTGGAAAACTAGATCTGGCTCTAGTCTAGAAATACGCACTAGTTCTTGGGTGGAAACTAGTTCTGGGTTCCAGACTGGAAACACGCACTAGTTCGCATTGACAGTGACTTGAGTTTGGGGCTTAGCCATGGCGAATCCAGTGAAAAGTTGCGATGGTTCGACTCAAGGTTTGAACCCGCCTAAAGGTTCAAATCCTAAATATAGCTTATAATTTAAAGAGTATAATTTTAAATTAATAAACAAAAATTTGTTGATTAAGAGTTGGAGCATCATTTACCTAATTTTCGACTCAAGGTTTGAACCAGCCCTAAGGTTCGAATCTTAAATTCAGCTTGAAAACCAAAATATTTGCTGTTTAAGAGGTGGAATATCTTTTCAGTTTTTCAATATTAATATAATCTGACCTGAATGACAGCATGTTGAGGGTTCACTGGAAGATATCCTATGTATATCCTCTAAAATATAGTTCGGTTCGGGCTTATCTTTGCTTTTTCCTTGTCCAACTGGTTCAGTTCCAGGTTTACTTCACAGTTGAAAGAAATTCTAAATCCTGGTTCTAGAGTAGAAACACGCACTAATAGTGAAAAGTTGCGGTTTGAACCAGCCTAAAGGTTCGAATCTTAAATCTAGCTTGAAATTTAAAAAACATAATTTTAAAATATTTTGCTGAAAAAGAGGTGGAATATCTTTTAACAAATTTTCTATCTTTTGCTACTTCTAAGGGTCAGGCAAAGTTAATGTTATATTTATCTTCCTTTTGAAATATATATTTATATTGCCTGACCTGAAGATATCCTAGCTATATTCTCAATAATATGTTTTGGTTCTGGCTTTTTCCTTTGATCAACTGTTCCAGGTTCCAGTTTCGCTTCGCAGTTAAAAGAAATTTTAATTCCTCTATCGAACTGTTTTAATTTTGTGAACCACAAACTTATATCAATTGCTTTTCATTTTTATTGCATTTCGTCTCAGCATGTTTAAACTTGAGTTAAATAAGGCATAAAAGCTGGTTAGATTTATAGAACTGTGTTGTTTGTTTGTTTTGTTTTTTTTTTCTGTTTTTATCGCGGTCGAAACAGCCTTAAGATTAGGTAGACAAGAAGAACATACATATGAAAGGCAACGAATGTGTGAGTGTAGATGAGAGCGGGTGGAATTGAATCCGCCCGAGTGAATTCGTATATATGTACATAAGTAGAACGATATATATCGCTTGCATTTCAACTAATACTACAACTATCGACTACGACGATAGGTCAGACGGCAGCCCGCCGCTGGCCACGTGGAGGAGAAATTGCGCTTTGCGGTCAAGAGGTCAAGAGGTCGTCAACATTGTGGTCTTCAGTTGTTCCTTTGATCGTGACTTAGTGATAGCCCAGCGGCGAGTAGGCGGGTCCCAGAGCCGGACCATGATAGGCCGGAGCCAGAGCTGGTCCATAGGCGGGTGCATGATAGGCAGGAGCCAGAGCCGGGCCATAGGCGGGGCCATAGGCTGGCAGCTTGGCCACAACGGGGGCATGCAACAGCGGAGCCGGTGCCAGAACCTTGGCCACGGGAGCGACAGCCTTGACGGCGACGCCCTCGCGATGGACGACGGCATTGAAGCCGTGCACAGGATCCGCGGTATACTCCACAATGCGACGGGTGCCGTCGGCCTCGATCAGCGAGTAGGAGCCCTGGACAACGTCGCCGCTGCGCGACTCCTGCTGGTTCTTCACGTCGCCCGTGGAGCTATCCTGCGGTTACAAAAGCAAAACAAAGATAATCAGCAAAGGATTCGGTTGGGGTCTGTGGTGGTCTGGCGGCGGGCACTTACATGCACATCGTAGCTGAAGCTGTACTGTGGATTCGGATCGTATGGCTCGGGTCCGGCCACCTTGGCGACGGCCAACTTGGCCAGGCCGGGATAAACGGGCGCCGCCAGCTTGGGATAGACGGGCGCGCCCAGCGAAGGATATCCGGGCAATGCCAGGCCAGGACCGGGCACCAGCACAGCGCTGGACACGGCCAACAGAGCGCTAAAAACGAGCAACAATTTTTGTGCCATTTTTGTTTTATTGAAGGCGATTTGAAGGCGATTTGGAGGAGATTTTCTGGAGCTGGAGCTGCTGCGGCTGCTGCTTGGCTGACAAATGAACTCACTCTGTGGTTCTGATGCTGAGCGACAATTGCTTTTTATAGCCAACACCAATCGAGCTGCAGGCCCAAGCCCCCAAATCCGCAACCAAATCTGCCCGCAAAAATATTTATGCAAAAGCAACAACAACAACAACAACAAAAACAACAACTAAAAAGTGCGCATGCGTGTGGAGTATATTGAAAATGCTTGCTAAGATCACAAAATGCAGCAGCAGCAGCAGCAACAGCACCACCAACAAGAAGAAACAAGCAGAGCGCTCTAGTCGAGTGGGAACGACTAGAAGATGCCCTGTAAAGTTATATATATATGCATGCATTTCCCTTCTTCGGTCTCACAATAGGGAAAATTGGATTCTTAAATAACTTCTGTGATTCTTAAATAAAATGTTCATAGCTGAAAGATGACATTCAAGTGGGACTAGAAGATACCCTGTAAAGTTATATACATATATACAAGCATTTCCCCCTCTTCGGTCTCACAATAGGGAAAAATGCATTCTTAAATAACTTCTGTGTATGTTAACCGATTCCTATAAAATCTTCACAGCTCAAAGCTAACATTCAAGTGTGACTAGAAGATACCCTGTATAGTATATGCATGCACTTCCTTTCTTCGGTCTCCCAATAACCAACATCCATTCTTCAATAACTCCTTATAACATTTTCATAGCTTAAAGATGACATTCAATAGTTTGCGTGTACTAAAAGAGGTTTTATATTCTCTATAAATGTAAGGCGAGTGGGCGTGGCTGGAAAACTAAAAAACTTTCCAAATCTTGTTAAACATACAATTATCCCTACGCACAAAATGCTGAGTACTTAGCTCTTTTAACCTTCGAGATATGCTTAATAATGATAGTTATAAATCGATATTTATCGATTTAATGCACAGACCTAACAAAGTGCGTCGATATGCAATCAGTTCGATGTTATAATCTCTGGCATATGTATGCCTTATAAGTAAGAAGATGTCTCCATTCGACTGTTCCTTAGAAATATGCTTAAAAATTGTATCTATAAATCGATATTTATCGATATCTTTGAATCGATATTTATCGATATCTTTGAATCGATATTTATCGATTCTATGCATATACCTAATAAACAGCGTCGATAAAGGAACAGTTCAATGTTATAATCTCTGGCATATGTCTACCTCATATGTAAATCGATTGTTACATACTTGGGTCACAATGCCAATATACCCGGCTTATACATAAACAATTAACTGCAGGGTATAAAAATGAAAATAATTCATTTTTCGTTGCGTCGCAATTGCCCCTGGCAATTGGCAGTCAGGGCAAGTCGAGGGGCGAAGGGGGGGGGGAACAGAGGGTGGGCGTTAGCTGACTGAGGCAGGGCTGAGGGGCGGGCGGGTTGCTCGGTCGGCAGGCCAGACAAAACAGCTTAGGCCTACGAGAATGGCACGCATGTTGTCTGGCTGGGTCGGCCCGGCTCGGCTCAGCTCCTAGGCGAGTGGTGGACAGGCCAAAATGAATGGATACATGAGCAGCTCGAAGCAGCAGCAGCGGGCGGGGATTTGATCGTGACAAAAAAGTTCAATTCGAAAGCGTTTTTTGGGCCGGGTGGCCAGGCGACATCAGGTGTGCGTACGTGTGTGTGTGTGCTGGCCAACACACACACACACACAGAGACGTGCCACGCACCCAGTCGATTGTTGAAAGGTGTGTGCGTCGCCGTCTCTATGTTAGCTACGAGATCAGCCTTCGAAACTGGCACAAAGCAGCGCCGCGCCGCGCCCAGCAGCAGCAGCAGCAGAAACAGAAACAGTTCACCCCGCAGACTGGCCGACTCCGGCTCCGAATCCGACTGCGAATCCGCGAATAACCGACATCAACAGCTCCGACTCCCCAACTTGCAGCAGGCAATTGCCACTGCAACAATGTTTTTATACCCTGTAAACAATGAAAGTGGCCAGAAAAACGGGTATATGTACAGTGGGGCATATGTATGCGACGGGCTGAAGTATGAAACATTGGCGAATAGAATAGATATACAGATTCTTGATCAGCATCAACAGAAACTTATCTCCGCTAGATATAGATCATAGATTAAAGATTATAGATTATAGATCATAGATTATAGATTATAGATCATGGATTATAGATCATGGATTATAGATCATGGATTATAGATAATGGATTAAAGATATTTAGATCAGGAATATTATATTTCATTGGATATCGTCATCAACTGCCCCAAGGCCCAAATATGGATTTTCAGCCACGATATTTGGAGTATTTCTAGAAAACTATAACAACAAACTAGAAATAAATGCATTATATAGATAGGTAGATGATAGATATAGATCACAACTATAGTTCCAGAATATATTTATTTACTTAGTTGATTAGTGCAAAACCTGAGCTCTGATTATGATTCTTGGTATGCTAAACACATTTAAAAGCCTTCTTTGAGAACTGAAAATTTCCCTAACGATCGTTCAGAAAACTCAGAAGTTATTTAAGAATGCATTTTCCAAATTTAGTGCTAAGAAGAAGCACACCTGTGAATATATATCTAACATTACACACAATTTAAAGGCGCGTACAAGGTATTCATTAGTCGCGCACGCTCGACTAGACAACTCTTACTTGGGTTTTTCGTACATTTTACTGCCATTGGGACAATTTTGCCCATTATCACTAATTTTGAACGCACGTTGCGCCTTGTTAGGCGTCGCAGTCGCCAGCGGCTGCCGCTGCGGCTGCGTCGACGGCGACGCCAACGCAGACTGCGACAGCGACGTCGACGGCGGCGGAGACATGCGCAGTTTTGCGTAATCAAAAATTGTATCGCGTCGAGTACTTTCAATTAAGCTATTGAATAATTCGAGTGCGTGTCGATCCGATCGAGTGAATGTTGCAGTTTGCATGGGAGAGTGTTCTTTGGGCGATGGGGGGGGGAGGACTTGGGGTAGGAACGGGGCGGTGTCTTTAGGGAGTTTCATAACGTTGAAGTCGAGGTATAGGAATTGAAGTCAATTTTTAAACCAAGGCGTCCTGCTCAAGGTCCTTGAGTTAGTTAGAGTTTCCTTAATAGATTTCCAGCGGAATCTTGACACTCCAATAAATATTTCTTATATTATAGAGTATTTAATGGGTACAGGGTATTCATTAGTCGCGCTTCCTTAGACTAGGCCACTCTTACTTGGTCTTTATAGGTTTTTAATTTAATTCACCCCGGAGAAATATTTTCCTTCCACAGTCGTTAGGTCTTTGGGTCTTGGCTTTCCCATTGGAAGCGTATTATTATTGTTCCTTAGAGCTTAGCTATTTAGTTTAAATATATGCGTAGAATTTAAAAAGCAAAAAAAAGCTGTAGAGGATACATATGGACGTAGGAAACGATTTGATCCTAAACGACTTCATTTCGTGGGTCAACTGGTCTCTGGTTATAATCCAAGTCTAAAGAACCGATCTATAGAAGTTGGTTGTATTCTTAATAGCTATAATCTTAAGGTCTATAACTCTTAAGATTAAAGAAGTAAAGAAATTTCAATTGATTTCAATTAAGTAAGATATTGTGCTTGGATCTTGTTTAAATCCGGATTCAAACTGTCGAAAAAACGGAAGGGCTAAGTTCCTCAGGTCCCCAGGTCTGGATGAAATATATTGTGCTTAGCTCTATAAGTTCCTCGATCTCGGTCGACCAAAAGAAAATAAATATTTCCCAGTATCTGTAGATCAGAAGTCAGTTTTTTAGCTTCCTCGGTCTGTATCGCACAAAAGAAGAGAATTAAGTTCCAATTTCTGCAGATCTGAAGACAGTTAAGGAAGATTTTGTATGGAAGAAATGGAATCAAGAGAGGAAATATCTTCTTAGTACCTTAAAGCGCTGTGTCTTGAGTTCGCAGTTGAATTAAAATGCATTTCATTTGCATATTTCAAGCAATTTTGTTCAACTCAAAGCCATTTGTCAGCGTTTGGATTAGGTATAGCCATACGCCAGAGCCAGGTGTCCCAACAATTAGCCATGCTTGTGTTCTCTTTGGCTAACTGGATTTATTAAATGATTTATGAGTTTGGTTAGATCTACAGAACGGACAATAACTTATCTACAAGCTAAGATCAGACAGCAGCTGTTACCTAGCCCAGGAATGGGGCGACTGGACGTGGGGCAACCAGTGGAACTGGAGCTGGAACCGGAGCTGGAACTGGGCCACGCTGGACGACCGCATTGAAGCCGTTGATGGGATCGGCCGTGTAGAAAACGGTGCGCAGCGAACCGTCGGCATCCACCACGGAATAGGAGCCCTTGACCACATCGCCGTCGCGCACCTCCTGCTGGCTCTTGCTGTCCCCGGTGATGGCATCCTGGACATTGTAGGCGTACGCATATTGCGGATGCGGATCAAAGTCCGTGTTCACGGGCACAGCCACGCCGGGCAGCAGGGCGCACTCGATGACGGCGAACAGAGCGCAGCTGATGAGGAGAGACTGCAAAGGATGTCAGCTAAGACTCGAACCATTTCCTCCTTCTCCAGTCCAAACTTACCTTGAGCAGAGCCATGTTGATTGTCTTGGATTGAATTGTGGATTGATTGATTGCACTTTCTGGACTGTCTTGTGGTGCTGTTGTCGCGTGGTTTTAAACGCTTTGCCACCCGTCTGGGTTGCCAAAAGTGAGCCAATGTCTGACGCAAGGCGCATTCCGTGTTGTCGGGAACACACAAAATATTTCCTCAATGGACGTGCCAACAACAATTTGCACAATCCCAGCACCCAGCAAGTGCTGGGCTTTATGACAATCATAACTTTAACTGTGGCACGTGCTGCGCATTAATAGCTTCCCATTTCGGCCCGTCTTGAGGTTGAGGTCGAACCTACCTCAACAGCGATTGAAAATACACATGACTAAGCTCTCAACCTTCGAAGAAATCAATGGAGTGTTTTTTTTGACTTGGAAATGGCATTAGACGAGATGTTGGTTGTCTCCAGTTGCCCCAAAAGTTAATTCCTTAAATCTTGTGTGACTTTTCATGTACTTCCGAAAGCAATTCTTCAGCGGAAGTCAACCATGACATAACATGAGGATTTCGACTTTGCACGTCGCACTAAGAGTTGTTGGAATGTGTAGAAGAGAACTAAAAGACTTAGATGATGATTCAACTCCCCAAGTCCTTATTCCAGACACAGCAGAAACTGAACTTCTTCTCATCAATCAATGTGTGGGATGTTTTCTTTTTCCTTTGGGCTGACTCTGAAGACTTCTTTGTCAGCGATGTTTCGACTTTGGTCTTTCCACTAAGTGCTGTAGAAAAAAGACTTCAATGCAATGAAAATGAGGATTCAACTCTTCAAATCCTTATTCCAGAGAAAGCAGAAATTGGGCTGATTCTCGATACTTCCTTTCCATCAATCAAAGTGAAGGAGGTTTTCTTCTTTTTTTTGTACCGAAACTTGTATTCGGTAGATGCATAATATAAGATGCGGATGTCGACTCCGATAGTCGAGCTATCGGAATACGTAGAAAAGAATAAAAGGACTTCAAAGGAATAATTAGGGTCCAACTCTTCAAGTCCTTATTCCAGAGACAGCAGGAATTGGCCGCTAAAGACTTCCGTCTCATCAATCAAAGTGGAGGATGTTTTCTTGTTTTTTTTTTTTTTTGTACCGAAACTTTTATTCAGTAGATGCATTTAATAAATCACTAGATAAATGGCCGATAGCCGTTTCCCGAAATCCCCTAGAAACGGTATCCCTAGAAGCTAGATGGTCCACATGAGGTCCACGGAGTTGGCTTTGAATGGAGGACAAACAGCACGCACGTCATTTTTGTGTTTCGGATGGTTTTGGAAGCGGAATTGTATGTAATACTAGAACTATTCAACAACGGTCGGGGCTGAGTTGGGCGTCAAACGTGGACACCCGGCGTCGTCTAGTAGTGTCCGCCGTAGCCGGAGCCGCCGTAGGCGGGCGCAGCGTATCCAATCTTGGTGAGCGTGGGCAGCGCCACCTTGGCAACGGCCAAAGCGGGCTTGGCGACAACGGCCACGCCCTTCTTCTCGACAACCGCATTGAAGCCGTTCACTTTGTCCGCGGTGTAGGTTACCTTGCGTATGGTGCCATCCGGCTCGGCCAGGGAGTAGCTGCCATGGACGACGCCATTGACCAGGGACTCCTCCTGCTGCTTGGAGTCGCCCGTGTGGTGATCGGTGACGCCGTACGAGAAGCTATACTGTGGATTCGGATCGTAGGGCTCCGGCACGGCTACCTTGGCCACCGCCAAGGCAGGTGCCGGGGCGGCTATATAGGTGGGCGCTGCATGCTGCACCAGGGTGGGCGTGGCCAGGAGCTTGGGCGCCGCATAGGAAATGGCCGGCGACGCAAGCAGCGACGGGCCATAAGGATCAATGGGTATGGCCAGCGCCACGGACAGGGCCAATCCAAGCACGCACACAGTCTGCCGGGGAATAGAAGCGAATGTGAGTGGAGGAGTACAGTGGAGGAGGAGCTGATCCCCTGTTCGAGAGCCTTACCTGAGCGAACATTATTGAAGGATTTCCTTTTCTTGTTTGTTTTTGGTTGACGGAAGGCGAGCGCGTCTGCACTGCAAGAACTCAGCTCGAATGTGAGATGCATTTAACGCCAGTTCTTCAGTTTTATATATGCGATCCGTTGTCGCGCTTAACCATTTCTGGCAGCCTTCCCTCCATGCCTCCCTCCCTTCCCTCCTCCTCCAAGTAGCCACTCGTCTCGTCCAGCTGGTCTAGCTAGATGGCCAGTGACAATTGCTTTGACTTGGCGTCTCTCGAAAACACTTTAGATCTCGATCTCGATCTCGCACCCCGTCCTCAAGCTGACGCGATGCACATGCTCTAGCTCGAATCTCGTGCTCCTAGTTGCAATTTCATGTTTTTCTGCTGCACATTTCGTCATTTGCAGCAACTGTGGCCAGTTTTTTCTCAATGGAATAGCTCCACATGCCATAATGCGTGCACTCAAGAGCGCCGCTCCAAATCTTTCAACTGGCGGCCAAGAGACTTGTTTTCCGCTGCGCCCCCGTCAACAAAAAACAACACGTAAAACCCGGCAATATCCGACTAAGAGATACCCAGAGACACAAAATCGATTTGATATCCGATTGGGTCCAATAACAAGTGCCATAGATCCTCTCAACTATCGATGCTGCTCAAGAATATAGTTTTTGTCTTATGGGAGAAGTCTCGAATGGAATCGAATGGATATACCCCTTTTCGAATGGCTTGCAGGGTATTAAACCAGATCTCGGCCAATTCTCAGGTTCTCCAAACGTTTTGTCTGATGTAATATCGCGATTTACTTGGCCAATGGCCAGTTTGCTGGGCAAGCCGAATCCAAATCGAAATTGAAAACAAGACTGCAGCCATTCATAGCTCCCCTCTCAGCCCGATCACCCCCCCCCCCCCTCCCCCTCGCCCTGTTGTCTCTCTATCGCTGAGCATTCGACTCGTTTAATTAGAAATCGAAAATGGAAGCAATTGATCAAAAGGGGGATGTGGGCAGAGAGGGAGGGCGTGTGTGCGTGTGTGTGGCGTGCAGATCAAGCAATTACGCACAGTCACACACAGTTACACACACACACACAGGCACACACTCACTCACACACATGCGCCCACATTCGCTATTGCAGAAATGCCGTCCAAAGACTGCAAGTGACCTTGCCACAATTGCCAGCGAATGAGTTGACGACGTTTCCAACTTAACTTAATTACGCACAGACTAGCCAACCCCCCCCCCCCCCCCTCCACCCACCCCTCCTTCTCCCCAGCCCCTTGCCAGTGCCACTCTCCCATGTGGCAACTGCTTTTAGGCAGGAAATTCTTCGAGTCTTAATGAATCAAGCCACAATCTAGCCACAAATCCTTTTATAAAAACGAACGCTTTGTAACATTGCCATAGACGAACTCCGAGGGAGCTTAAATTTGAATAGACTTAATTGAAACTTAAATGAAAGGCAATTCATCTTTCATTTATTTATGACCAGATAATAATAAGTTTTTATATCATAAAGTCGACATATGAAACTTAGACATATCATGTCTTAAACTTTTAAGGAACTTCGATTTGTTTATCTAACTCATCCAGACAAGATTTTCTTGCCAAAAACACTTTAATTTTTTCAAGATCTAATTAAGTAGATATTCGTCCATATTCTAGAGTTTATAGCAAAGTTAAAAAAACATACATTTGCTGAAGATCCAATTAAGTAGATATTCAAAATGCACACAGTTTGTATATCTAATTAATTAAATCCCGAATATATTTAAATATTTTTTTACTTTGCAAGAAACTCTAGAATATTTTTCGAAGATTGAAATTAGATATTTAATTTTAAAAAGTAATTAATATTATTATTATACTTCATGTTGATGATAGTATTTTACATACATACGTACATACATACATGCATACATACATACATACATACATACATACATACATACATACATACATACATACATACATACATACATACATACATACATACATACATACATACATACATACATACATACATACATACATACATATGTACATGCATACATACATACACACATACACACATACATACGTACATATGTACGTACATACATACGCACATACGTACATAAATACATACATACATAAATACATACATACATACGTGTGTACGTACATACATACATACATACATACATACATACATATACATACAAACATACAATACATACATACATACATACATACATATGTACATGCATACATACATACACACATACACACATACACACATACATACGTACATACGTACATAAATACATACATACATAAATACATACATACATACGTGGGTACGTACAGACATACATACATACATACATACATACATACATACATACATACATAAATACATACAAACATACATACATACATACATACATACACGCATACATACACACATATATACATACGTACATATATACATACACACACACATACATACGTACATATATACATACACACACACATACATACATACGTACGTACATACATACATACATACATACATACATACATACATACATACATACATACATACATACATACATACATACATACATACATACATACATACATACATACATACATACATACATACATACATACATACATACATACATATATCTACATACATACATACATCTACATACATACATACATATATCTACATACATACATATCTACTTACCCCCTCCACCTCCTCCTGCGCCGCCGCCTCCTGCTCCTCCACAGGCCGTTGGAGCCAACGCTTCCTGCCTTGCTGAATTTCAGCAGAGCCTACTTGAATTCTTGAGAATCGAGGAGGAGAGCACTTGGCAGAAATTCGTTTTATTTAAATTAGCAGCAAAGCTTGGTCTGCGTTTGGTATTAGAAAACAAACATACATGCATACATATATACATAAATGCATACATACATACATGCATACACCAACACACACATACATACACACACACAAACACACACACACATATATATATCAAGCTTATATGCCTTCATACAAAGTACTTGTATGTCTATATATAGACCTTTTTGTCCTGACTGACTGACTGATTGATTGACTGACTGACTGATTGACTGATGTACTGACTGGCTGTAGTTTCCTTAAGATTTGATTTTCGCAAAATCAAAGTTTTCTCGGTATGGAAAGTGCGATTTTCAGATTTTTTTGATGAAGCTTTAAGTTTTGTTCGGTTTGCTTCAAACTTACTTTCAAAGCTCTGCATAGGAACTTAATGAATGAAAGTTTCAGCGATTTGGAAAATTCTCTCCGTAACGTAATACAAGCTAGTATTTGATATTTCGATTTGGATATCTTACATTTACATTTTATATAAACTTTCAAATGTAATTATTTAAATTCAATTTCCTAACTTTATTATTTTGTATTCACTGAAATGTGACGCAATTGGAACTCGGTTATTGCAATTTATGGACTGCAAATTTGACAAGTAAAAGTCAGCTAGACTTGTAGAACACAGATTCAGAAATCACGCTGCCATTTAAGGAATCTTGTGACATGCTGCGGTTCGGCTCAAGTTTTTTTTTCGTCTCATTTCTGCTGTCAATTTCCGGTGACAACCGTTAACAGTGCGTCTTCAGTGTGACCAAGCGGTGAGCGGCTTGGCCGTTAATCGGTCGAGCGGTGCTGCCAAGTTTGCCAACGAGTCGCAAGGTCGTGCGCATTGTATTTTACAACCGAGTCACGCCCCGGGCACGTTAAGTTGTTCGAAATCGGGTCAAATCTGCAGCAGTAGCCAGCTGGAAGTGGGTTAAAAGATCTACGACACAGTTTCTACGGGCTACTGTTTAACTATTTATTGGTGATATTTTTATTTTTTTTATTATAATAAACCGGTTTCAATCACGTAAGAGAAACCCCTGCGTGTACTGCCTTGGCATTTCTAATTGAAACTTTCGATGCGGCTGAAATAAGCAATTCATAATCGTTTATCGATTATCGAATATTGAAGTTTGTTACTGAAAAATCAAACAACATTGGTTAATCTTATTAATCAGAAGATGCCGCTTAGGCTAAACCCAAGCAAATAAGCATGAAATTAATAATCGTTTATCGAATATGGGATTTTGTTATTACAAAATCCAAGTAATTTACAAAAGTTAACCTTAGTTTAATAGTCGAAATCTTCGAAACTAATCAGAAGAATATAATTGAAACTTTCGATGCGGCTGGAACGCAGCAAGTAATCAATTAATAATCGTTTATCGATTATCGAATATGAGATTTTGTTACTTAAAAATACAAACAGATTAGTTAATCTTGGCTTAATGGCCGAAATATTAGCAATTAATTAGAAGATGCCCCTTAGGCTGGATCCAAGCAACCCAGAATTCAACTAATAATCGTTTATCGATTATCGAATATTAGATTTTGATACGTAAAGATCTAAGTAATATAACACACATTAGTTAACCTTAGTTTAATAGTCGAAATCTTCGGAACTAATCAGAAGAATATAATTGAAACTTTCGATGCGGCTGGAACGCAGCAAATAAGCAATTAATAATCGGTTATCGATGATCGAATATGGGATTTTGTTACTTAAATATCCAAGAAATGCACATAAGTTAATCTAAGTTTAACAGTCGGAATCTTCGGAATTAATCGGAAGACGCGCACTAGGCTGGACTAAAGCAACCAATCATGAAATAAATAATCGGTTATCGATGAACGATATCGTTATCGATAACCGATTATCGTTGTTTGTAGTGAATCTAACACTCTTAACTGAAAGACGCGTTTTAATACGATTTACTTCGGCATTGCTGTGACTAAATTTCGTGTGTTTCTTTTGAGTTTTGATTTTTGGGTGTAAAAGAAAATTAAAGTATTGCCATTGAATGGCAGCTGCATGACAATTACCAAAAGCCCAAAAAACAAAGAGAAAAAAACAACAACAACAACAGAAAACAAAAAAATCACTTTCGTAGCCATGGAACATGGATTCGGAGCAGGGCCCCCAGAGCAAGCTGAAAACTTTGTTCGACGTGCCGCGAATATGGATCAAAAGGCAGACGCTGCTGCCAAGCTGCCAAAGCAAATGCGTCCAAAGCAAATGCAAATTTCGCGAATTGCAGCTGTATAAAAGTCGACGCAGTTTTGGTAATGGCATGTCAGTTCATTTTTGTTAACCGACGGTGATAATCAAATCCTAATCCCCCCCGAAGCCGCACAATGAATCCTTTGACGGTAAGTGACGAAGTGAGCCACACAAGATTCATATTGGATACCAATTCGGATTCGCTTTGCAGGTTGTTGCAGTCCTCTCCACCCTGGCGCTCTCGGCCCAGGCGCACTTTGCCGCCGCCCCCGCTCCACTGGCCGCGGCGCCCTACTTTGCTCCGGCTGCTTACTCCGCGCCGCTGCGTTATGCTGCTCCGGCTGCTTACTCTGCTCCACTGGGCTTTGCCGCTCCGGCTGCCTACTCTGCTCCGCTGGGCTTTGCTCCAGCTCCCTATGCTGCTCCCTATGCAGCTCCCTATGCATCTCCTCTGGCCTACTCTTCTCCTCTGGTTGCCAAGACCTTTGCCCCGGCTCCAGTTGCCGCTCCTCTGGCTGCCGCTCCTCTGGCTGCTGCTCCAGTTTCCGCTCCTCTGGCTGCTGCCCCTCTGGCTGCTGCGCCAGAAATCGTCGATGCTCATCCACAGTACAAGTTCGCCTATGATGTCCAGGATACGCTTACCGGCGACTCCAAGACCCAGGAGGAGACACGCGATGGCGATGTCGTGCGCGGTTCCTACTCTCTGATCGAGGCCGATGGCTCGCGCCGCATTGTCAGCTACTATGCCGATGCCATCAATGGCTTCAATGCCGTCGTCCAGAAGGATGTGCCCGTTGTGGCGCCCGTCGTGGCCAAGCTCCGCAGCTTTGCGGCACCAGTTGCTGCTCCCGCTCCGGTGCTCGCCAAGACCCTGGCCGCACCCATCGTTGTCTAAATCTGCCGCCTGGGTCATTGGAATCGGGGGCGTGTCGTCTTGCTTGCGCCTTTGTGTAAATGGATTGCATACAGTTTGACAAAGGATTTTCATTTGTACATATTCGATTAATCATTCGTCGTGCTTATATAAAAAGAAACTTTCATCGAAACCCAAAATTAAATAAATTACCTAAACAAATTTGTGATTCCCAAGCCGAGCTTGGGTTTTTGTTTTAGTTAACTCTAAGTTAGAGCTGGGCGCGTGTCGTGTTTAGTTATATGATTTAAGAGGACTTCTCTTATTTATTCAATTGATTGTTTTGATTTTCTCTTGGTTAATAGGAGAGCTATAGTCGGATGTTCCTAACTTGGGAATACCCTGAAGCATCTTCTACCCACACCAAATATAAAATTTTAGAAAATTGATTCCTTTTTACCGGACTCTATCTCGCATCCCAAATCAACCTAGCCTAGCAATCATAATCCACAACCATACCAAGAATTAAGTGGGGTCACGACATAATGTCGCACAACCTAACTCCGCCGTTCTACAAACGTCATATCTTCGCGGAGGTATATATGTCTATAGATCCATGGAACTATGTCCCTTTAAAACGACATAATCTCGCCCAAGTTCAACATTTTAAGTCTCTTGATATATAAGATATGTTCTGATATCGAAGTGTGCATACATACGGACGGACTTACGGACATGCGGTCGGACAGACAGACGGACATAGCTAGATCAAAATTTCCCACACACATATCTCGGTCAAATCACATCCGATTTTCGAAAGGTTTGGCTCTTTTCTCATTATTTAGCCTCTAGATCAATTTGGCATCAAAATCTAGTTACACTATTTTTGATCAAAATTCATGTGAAAATGGTGGCCTCAAATATCCTATATAGACATAGGTCAAAATTTCCCACCCCCATAACTCGGTCAAAACTCAACTGATTTTCATAAGGCTTGAATTTTTGTTCAGGGTTTGACCTCAAGATCAAATTGGCATCAAAATCTGGCAACATTATTTTTGGTCGAAATTCATGTAATAATTGTAACCTCAAATATCCTATATAGACATAGGTCGTATTTTCCACCCCCATAAGTCGGTCAAATCACATCCGATTTTTACGAGGCTTGCTTTTTTGTTCATGTTTTGGTCTCTAGATCAATTTGGCATCTAAATTTGGCTACATCATTTTTGGTCGAAATTCATGTGATTTTCACATCCTCGAATATCCTATATAGACATAGGTCATAGGACGGACGGAGGGACAGACAGATGGACATGGCTAGATAGACTCGGCTTTTTATGCTGATCAGGAATAGATATATACTCTATGGGGTCGTAGATACATTATACCCTTTTAGCCCATTTTCAAGGGGCATACAAATTAATTAAACAAGTGTGATAACTGAATATTGCTGCTGGATTTGAACCGGTCACTTTCCCGCTCGCTAGTTCGTGCCACTTGCTAACCAGATTTCCTTTCTTTCTTGCAGAGAGCTAACTGAGGAGTTTTGGAAACTGTCGCCGCACGAAAATGTGGCACGGATGCGCCTCAAGCTGGAGCCGCAGCTGTATCCGAACAAGCACGAAAATGCCGCCAATCTGCGGGACAATGCGACCAATGCCTACGACACAAAGTGAGCAGCTGCCGAAAGTAACCCTTTGATTATCACTGATGACCCTTTTATTGCAGAGAAATATCCGAGTTTGACTCGACCATCAAGAATGCGGTGGTGCGCGATTTTCTGGCCGATGACGAGAGCTCCCAGCTGGAGGAGGAGCTGCGCCAGCTGATCGACACACAATCGCAGCAGGATGCCGCATTGGAGAAGCTGGTCATGTCGCAGGACTGCGAGCTGATAACACTTATGACCAAGGTCAAGGGTCGCATTGAGGTCAACCAAAGCGTGTTCACCTTTGTCGACCTAAGCCCGCCCCTCGAAGATGGCTCCAAGCACGATTTCAGGTGAGCCCAAGATTGGAAGAGTCGCTTTGCGAAGTTAATTTAAAGTTTCCTTTCGTTTTTTTTTCAAGGTTTTCCATCAACAAAATCCGTGAGGTGCATCTGCGCAAATATAATCTGCGTCGCAGCGCTCTCGAGATCTTTCTGATAGATCAGACCAGCTATTTTCTCAACTTTACGACTAAGGTGGGCGGGATTCCTAATTCCAATTGCTTGGCTAAGTGTCATCCGAGTTGATATAACCAAGTCCTGCTCCTCAATTCAAATTGTTAACTGACTTTCCATTTTCCAGACTCGCAACAAGGTCTTCACCAAAATTGTGGGTCTGCCCTTGCCGAACATCTTGTATGGCTCCGGTCGCTCGCCGCCGGAACTGTTGCGCGCCTCGGGTCTAACTCAGCGCTGGGTCAATCGTGAGATATCCAATTTTGAGTACTTGATGTACCTCAATACCATAGCTGGTAAGGTCTTAGTCGGCCCTGTCTTTCACTCTAGCCTAAATCCTTTTGTTCTGTTCCTTCACGCAGGCCGCTCGTATAACGATCTGAGCCAGTATCCCGTCTTCCCCTGGATTCTGGCTGACTACACCAGCGACGTGCTGGACCTGACCGATCCGCGTTCCTTTCGTGACCTGTCCAAGCCAATTGGATGCGTAAGTTGACATACAGTTGGAGATTTTCCTTATTAACTTACTCTGCTCGCAGATCAATCCCAAGAACGAGGCGGAGGTGCGCAGCAAATACGATTCCTTTGAGGATCCCTCGGGTGCCATACCAAAGTTCCACTACGGAACACATTACTCCAACTCTGCCGGCGTGCTGCACTATCTGCTGCGCGTTGAACCCTTCACCTCGCTGCACGTTGAGCTGCAGAGCGGCCGCTTCGATGTGGCCGACCGACAATTTCACTCCATACCGCAGACGTGGAAGCTACTAATGGACAATCCCAATGATGTCAAGGAGCTAATACCCGAATTCTTCTATTTTCCGGAGTTTCTCAAGAACATGAACAAGTATGTGGCTCCTATAACTGGCGTCCCTCAGGTCTAATCTCTACTCTCCTAACCGTCACAGATTCGACTTGGGTCACCTGCAAATCACCAAAGAGAAGGTCGACGATGTCATTCTGCCCGCCTGGGCCACCACGCCCGAGGAGTTCATAGCCATACATCGGCGTGCTCTGGAATCGGAATACGTTAGCCAGCATTTGCATAACTGGATCGACCTCATCTTCGGCTACAAGCAGAAGGGCGCCAAGGCCGTGGAGGCGCTGAATGTGTTCTACTATTGCTCCTACGAGGGCGCCGTCGATCTGGACAAAATAACCAATCCCATTGAGCGCGAGGCCGTCGAAGGTAGCTCAGTTCAGCTCTGTTCAGTTCAGCTCAAGTTGTTAACGATAATCCCTTCCAGGCATGATCAACAACTTTGGCCAGGTGCCGTCGCAGCTGCTGCGCGAGCCACATCCCCGTCGGCTCACCCAGGACGAGACGGCGCTGAAGCTGGTGCGCGCCGAGCTGAAGCGACCCGATTTCACACAGTTCCTGGACAAGGTGGTGCAGTACTATTGTGAGCTGTCCACGGCCAAGGATCCGATTGTGTATCTGAGTCCGCCGCGCAGTCCGCCGCGCTCCTTTCTGCAGCTCAGTCCCGATGTGCTGGTCAGCGTCTCGAAGGTCGGCATTCTGGGCTGCAACTCTTGGATGTCCTTCGACAAGGAGCAGGGATTTCTGCTGGAAATCGACGCAACCACAACAAATCTTAAGTGCGTGTCGCTGCCAGCTCCTCCTCCCTTAATCCAGCTCATTTATTTATGTATTTACTTTGTGTTTCTTCTAGGAACCGGAAGCGCGTCTTTGGACCCTTTCATCCCTCGCAGCCGCCGCACTCGCAGAACTTTGCGGTCAGCACCGATGGCAAGCTACTCTACGCCGGCGGCATTTGGGACAATGCGCTGCGCGTCTACAGCCTGAACAAGGGCAAGACATTGGCCTCGGTGACGCGCCATTTGGATATAATCACCTGCCTGGCATTGGACAATTGTGGCTCCTATTTGGTCACCGGTTCGCGCGACTGCACCGCCATTGTGTGGAGCATACAGGGAGGCAATCAGCAGAGCAGCATGCCCAGCAGCAACATTCCAGTCCACGCCCTGACCGGACAATCCCATCTGCAGGCCATAACCCAGCTCAACACGCAGAACAGCTACTCGCCAAAGCCTCTGACTGTGCTCTATGGCCATGACGACGCTGTCTCCAGTGTGGCCATCTACACGGAGCTGGATCTCGTTGTATCCGGCTCGCTGGTGAGTGTGACCGCCTGATTGACTGACTGATGATTGAGCTAGAAACTGTATAAAGCTGTATGTAAAAGTGTCTGTGTAAAACTGAGAGATCGACTGACTGCGGGATTGACGGACTGACGATCAACGCAATTAAGCCTTAACAGTAAGAAATCTATCCTGATTAAGTGATTGACTGACGGATGATCAACGCATAGTTTAAGTTGTTTGAGCTAGAAACCCGAATTTCTATATATAAAACTGTGCGCTAACTGAGAGATTGACAGACGGACGGATTGACGGACTGCAACCAGCTTAACAGTAAGACTGATTGATTGACTGACTGACGATCAATGCACAGTCTAAGGCGTTTGAGCTAGAAACCTGAATTTCTATATATAAAACTGTTTCCCCCAACTGAGAAATTGACTGACTACTGGATTGACGGACAGACGATCACCGCACACTCTTAACAGCTTGATTGATTGATTGACTGACTGATGATCAACGCACAGTCTAAGACGTTTGAGCTAGAAACCGGAATTTCTATATATAGAACAGTACCTAAAACTATCCACCCCGACTGAGAGATTGACGGACAGACGATCAAAACACAGTAAGACTGATAAAGTAATTGATTGATTGATTGACTGACTGATGAACAACGCACAGTCTGCATCTTAATAGCTAGAAATTTCTTTCTTTTTTGTCGTTCTTTCTTATTATATTCACAAGTTTATTTTTCTTCTATTCACAGGACGGCACTGTCAATGTCTACACACTGCAGGAGGGTCAATTTGTGCGTACCCTGAAGCCCATTGGCTGCACCGAATCCTGTGTGCAAATCTCCTACGTAACTGTTTCATATCATGGTGAGTATTTCCAGCTGCGCCTGCGCGTATGCAATGTATTTAAAAGCGGACCGGCCCAAAGTATGCTATAAGTCGAATAGATTTTGGATTTCCACTGAAAATACTTCTTTTTTTTATGGGTTCAGGCGTCCAGCTTGAACTCTGTGGCCCCCCAAGTCGATAAGATAAGCCTCTGCCGTTTGTAGGTTGGGGGTAGCATTGAACTGGCCCCATTTTTATCAGTCTCTGTCAACTTCGAACGCATCGCCCGAGTCACATTCACGTGAACCCGATTTACTCGCTGTGTGTGTCTGTCTGTCTGTTTGCAGAGCAAACAATTTCAAACAATTTAATCAACTGGCAGCTCGCTTATCAATGCCCCGTAAATTGCCACACACACTCGCTGATAATGCCACAAAAATCACGTGACAATCGTGTCTCTATATATATTATACATACATATATATATTTATATTGAGTGTGTCTCGACTTTTGTTCGTGCCTTTTTTTCTATTCGTCATGGTTTCAATTTGTACAAGTTCTCTACTCATATCTTATCTTAATAGGTTCCAATAAAGCTAGCGGGTTTTAGACCAGGGAGCATTACTTAATGCCTTAGCCTGAACCAAGGTTAGGATTTTGTCTGTGCACACATAAAACTATTTCAATCAATTAAATTTCTGTCTCAGCTATCGCAAACTTTTTACAAACCATTTGACATCATTGAGTATTATAAAGTTGTGCAAATCTATAAACGAAAAAAGTCTATAAAAAACGAATCAAGGCTTTTTTGATTACCTAAAATATATATATTCCTGATCAGCTTCAACAGTCGAGTCCATCAATCCTTGTCAAGCTGATTGATCGCGATCTCAATTCGATACATCTTGGTGCTCGTTTATCAAATCCAGCTTAATTTAGTTATATCAATCGTTCCCTAAGCTATCGGAAAGATCGATAAATATCGATTTCCAACTCTGCAATTCAAAGGAATAGCTACGCCTTTCCTAAGGATCACTTTCCTAGGTATGGAGGCCAGTTCCACTTCGATAGGTCCAGAAAATATTTAATAAGCTCAAGGTCCAAAGCCTCGACTCGAAAGAAAATGGAAAGTATCTGTAGATCAGGATTGATCAGAAATCCAATTCTTGATAAATCAAGCCCAGCTGAAGGAGGATTGCGCCAGTTCCAGATTATTCTGCACTCCTTAAGGCTGCCAGCTGAGAACCTGCCTTGATTTATCGACGAGAAGACCCCGAATTATGTGTTTTTTCTCTATAGAGTATCGCCTAGTCCCCCTCTGTTCTCTGTCTCTGTCACAGCTAAATTCCAGAACTCAAGTGCAGACGCCACCTAAGTCCAAAATTTCCCCATAATAAATCAATTTCTCCGCAATCAGCTGCTGATTATCAAAACCCGCACGCTTCAGCTTTATATAATATTTAAGTATCAATATATATGTATGTATGTATGTATATATGATGATATACTCGAATATTATACAAAACTGAACCACCTATATATGCATATATATATATATATACAGCTTATATGCATATGTACAGCATTTGGAGAACCTGTCAGGTGCAGTCAGGCCTCTTATCGAGGAGGCAGAGTGTTATTAAATATTGAGTATCGATTCATATTTTGCAATATCCGGCAGCAAGTTAAACCAGAAATTCCAGACGACCACAATTAATTATTTATAATATATATATATATTATCTACCATGAGATAATCCGTTAATTGCTATAACATATATTCTTATTTATATAAAATATATGTAAACATGGTACTTAACCAAAAAATGCACATAGAGTAAGAGCAGGAGAGAGAAAAAGCAATGATCTCAGAAAGCGCGAGTGCAAGAGAGTAATGGGAGTATGAGTATATCTCACTTCGTGAGAATCACATAGAAGGGCGAGTGGAAGAGAATAATTCAGAGTGAGAGTATACTTGAATTCGTGAGCATCACATAGAAGGGCGAGTGGAAGAGATTCATTCAGAGTGAGAGTATGAGTATATGGTACTTCAGCTCGTGAGAATCGCGTAGAAGGGCGAGTGCAAGAGAGTCATTTAGAGTGAGAGTGAGAGTATATGATATTTATATTAGTGAGAATCGCGTAGAAAGGCGAGTGCAAAAGAGTCATTTAGAGTGAGAGTGAGAGTATACGATACTTAAATTAGTGAGAATCGCATAGAAAGGCGAGTGCAAGAGATTATTTTATAGTGAGAGTGAGAGTATATGATTCTTGAATTCGTGAGAATCACATAGAAAGGCGAGTGCAAGAGAGTATTTTATAGTGAGAGTGAGAGTATATGATTCTTGAATTCGTGAGAATCACATAGAAGGGCGAGTTATCATAAAAGAAAAGTAAACTTGATCTGCAATTGATATATGAGATCCAACAGAATGCTTATTACCCGGCTTCATCCGGACCATGATCTTATGTTTATTTTATACTAAAATATTAACTTTTCAATCCATTTATCGCCCATGAAAAAATACAAGTCCTACTATTTTAAGCCCCCATCTACGCCCAGTAAAGTGGATAAATGCAAGCGATTGATCACGTTGCAAATACCATTTTGGGCGGTTGTTTGAAAATCAGCTTGAAGATTAAAGCGAAAAGGCTTCAATTAACAGCTTTCGGCCTTGGGCTGGACTTGTCAAAAAGCGGTTAGGCACGAATTTATTATTTAATATGAAGCCGGGCATCGAGCAGCAATCAGGCGGTCAGTGAGTCAGTCAATCGATCGATCGATCGATCGATCAAAATCAGTGCAAACAGTTTTGTATATATAAAGATATACGTATATATTAAGATTTTTAAATCAATTAAATTGAATCGCCTGCCTTTTGGCTTTATAGGCAGTTTTTATTGCGTTCTTGGCAAGCTCAATTAACGACATGGGTTTAATTAAATGTCAAACTTTGTCAAAGCCCTCACACACCCCTCCATTCCCCTCCCCTCGCTCCCTCAGGCGATGGACTGCTTATCAATTCGAGCTCAAATATGCGCATTCATACATCACACACACACACATACACACAAATACTTGGGCATTATTAATGGAATCAAATCAAAAGCGAGCGAACGAGTCCCGCAATCGCATCACAGTCACACGACCCGACGACCGCCTTCGATTCCCAGCACCCCTCTCCAATAAAGTAGCCCCCCCCCTCCCCCCCTAACACCTCCGCCGCACCCTAGCCTATCCACTGTGTGCGTAGCCCCAAAGAGCCAGAAAGAAGAGTGCACTTATCGGAGGTGCCCGACTAGAAGATACTATCGACATAGCTCCAAGTGTTCCATATATATGTATATATTCGTATTAGTTCCTATTGGAATAGGGTTACTTGAATTCGTGAGAATCGCATAGAGAGGCTTTATTCGCGATAGTGGATTAGCGTGAGGAGGGAGTGAGAAAGCGAATGAGAAAGCGAATATGAGAGATGGGGAGTAAGTGAGAAGGACTTAACTAATTAATGAGTGAGAAGGGGAAGAAGGGCTATGCGAGAGAGGAACGATTAGTAGAAGACAGTAAGTGAGTGAAGGCGAGAGAAAGAGAGAGTGAAAAATAAATAGAGTGTGAAAGGAAGCAAGAGAGAAAGAGCAAGATTGAGTCTGTAGAGTGCAAGACAAGTAGAGAAATGGAGAGACCGTTTTCTCATTTGCTCTCTCACTCACTCCTAACGCTATTCCACTATCGAAAATATCGCCTCTCTATGCGATTTTCACGAATTCAAGTAACACTTTTGAAATAGAAGTTAATACGAAGATAAATATATTGAATGCTTGGAGAAGGGAAGAGGGGATTTTGAGTGAAGTGAAAGTGAGAGAATAAGTGCGAGAGTAAGGCAGAGTAAGACCCAAGATTAATAGATGGAGGACTCCCGAGTTAGATAGAGCTTATTTTATCATTTAAACTGGCAGAAAAAGCAGTCCTGTCCATACTTATATTAGATATATGGGCTCAAAATTTATTTTATCTGCCTTTTACATAGATTTCAATAATTTGAGTATACCCTTTAGGCATTTTTAATGGGTGCAGCGTATAAATATGTAAGCGAAGACTCATTCATGACATTTGGTTTTTTTTTTAAATTTTATAAAATAGTAAAACTCGGGGAGGGGCGCATAGAAGGCGATATATACATATGTGTGTGTTTATATATATATAAATATATATATATATATGTGTGTGTGTGTGTGTGTGTGTGTGTGGAGATTCTAAGGAAAAAAAGTGCCGGACATGGAATGGGAACTTTTTGAATGAATGTAAATGTCGCAATTGGCGAGAATGAGACTGAAGACTCAAGACTTGAAGACTTGAAGACATGAAGACTGGGAAACTGAGAAGCGTGATCTTTGTGGTCTGATTTGGTGGAGGGTGAGGCAGGAGGGGTAGAGGGAGGAGCCTATGCAAACTGGCTACGGCACGGTTATTTCTAGTCTCAACAAAAAAATCACGAAGAAACAGGCCGCCAGAATTCCGCATCAACTACTCGGAAACGATGTCATTCAAAAAAAACTAAATTAAAATAAAATCAAATAAAATACAACCTAATACGATCTCCAAGCTCCAAGTATATCAAGTCAAGAGGGCACTGGCACTACGTTCTCTCTCTCTCCCTCTCCCTCTCTCTATCTGGCTAGCTCTGTCTCTTTCTCTATGCGTAGCATAATTAATAAAATAAACCTAATACGATCTCAATATCAAGTATATCAAGTCAAGAGGCCACTGGCACTACGTTCTCCCTCCCTCTCTCTTTCCCTCTCCCTCTCTCTCTCCCTCTCTCTCTCGCTCTGGCTAGCTCTGTCTCTCTCTCTATGCGTAGCATATTTCTGCAGCATTTGGAACGGATTGGTTTTGAGTTTACTTCATTTCAATCAATTTCATTGGCAATGCTCGCTGATAAGCCCAACTACGCATCGCTTTAATCATCAACATTCTCCACATTCTCAATCTCAATCTCATTCTCGTCGTTCTTCTTCTTGTCTTCGATGTTGTTGTTATCTTGAGAAGCGTGTCATAATCTTAAATTCCATGTTGTACGGAACGCGCTGTGCTGTGCCAGGTTATCAACTGGCAAGTGGGCCGGACCCAACAACTCCGCGCGGCCCATTGGCATTTCGAACTGCGTAGAAGAGCCCGTAGAGCCACTCGACTCGACGCAACGCACCCTGCCCCACATATCGCAATCTTAGGCTCTATCTCATTCTCCCTCTCCCTCTCCCTCTCTCTCTCTCTCTCTCTCTCTCCTTGATGTAAGTCGTTGCGCTCGTACGACAATCAAAAAAATAAAAACTAAACATTTTGTACTCAAATTAAGTACAAATGTTGGCAAAACCTGACCGCGCGCAATTCTTGTTTCAAGAACTTTCATAATTGCTTTTGATAAACTCAAACTAAGAAAATCTGTACTTGCTTTGAACACATTTGAGGCTTATTTAAAGCATATGTCTTCTTCAAATAAGTGTATTGTACTTGTTTTTAGACTTATTATCTTATTTTGAATGTTGTTTATAGAAAACAGCGTAGAGTTTACTCAAGCTTAGAAATTATAGACTTATTTGAAGCAAGCAAATTCTTTTCAGAAATATTTTGTACTTAAATTAAGTTCAAATGTTGGCAAATGCTGAACACGCAATTCTTGTTCTATAATTGCATTTGATAAAGTCTTAGGTCTGTATACTTGAGGCTTATTTGAAGCATATGTCCTCTTTAAATAAGTTTCGTTTTACTTGTCTTCAGACTTATTTACTTATTTTGAAATTTCTTAGTAGAATATTGAGAGAGTTTACTCAAGCTCAGAAATGTTCAACTTATTTGAGGCAAATATTTTGTACTTATTTTATGCAATGTTTTCTTCTTTAACTTTTATCTTGCAAACCAAGCATGATTCATGCTTCATTTAAGAATATTCCAGAGGAAATTTTGGAATATTTAAAAAATTGAACTTAATTTATGCAATTTCTTCTTCTTTAACTTGCAAAGCAAGCATGATTCACACTTCATTTAAGAATATTCCAGAGGAATTTTGGAATATTTCAAATATCCAAACATGAAAACAAATCTGATTCATAATTTGATTTAACTTAAGAGTATTTAATTAAATTGCAATTTTCTTTTAAAACGAAACCAAAGTTCAAATTTAGCGCTGCATTTTTCGCTGAGTGTATCATTTGTAGCCAGCGATAAGAAAGACGTCCACAGATGCAATATTGCATTACGCCAATCCCTCCCCCCCCTCCCCCTGCCCCTGCCCCCTCCCCCTGCCACTTTACTTTCGCTGTCCAACTGCAAAGTTGATTGGCATTTAGCAGCAGCAGATTCTTTGCTGATGCCTCCCCGGCGGCCGTTGCTTATCAGACTCTGACGTCAGCATTGAATTGATCTTCTTGGGTCGGCAGGTCACATCGCCTTCAGCGCCTTGGACGACACATCGCACTCGGTGCACGTGTACAGCATCAATGGTGCCAGCCTGGGCTCCAAATATGTGTCCGGCCGTGTGACGGGATTGGCCAGCGCCTCGGACTATCTGGTGGTGGCCGACGATGCCGGCGACATAACCATGAGTCGCCTCCACGGGTGAGTGAGCGGCAATGAAATCCCAGCTAAACTTAATCTTCTTTGAACCATCCGTTTACAGGCTGAAGCCCGTCTTTGACATTCCGCTGCATGTGCCCATCCAGACCGTGGTCGTGACGCCGGGCAACACGCACATCCTGGCCCCGTTGCGGGACGGACGCCTCGCCGTCGTCGCCGTCCAGCTGCCCCTCGCCGGCACCAAAAAGCATTCCGTGCTCAATGTCTAAGACGAACTCTGGAGCGGAGCAAGAATTAACTTTGTTTTTGGCTATTTTGTTTTTTTCGGTCAGTTTTTAATTCTTGGAATTTGTTTCTGCACTCGCGCATATTTGTCGTATTTGTTCATAATTTGTTTTTATACATATTTATTTTCATGTCGTTACGTGCCAAAAAGAAAAGAAAAGAAAGAATGGCCAAAAAGCGGGCCAACATGTTAGGTATCTGTTGTTGGGTTCGCTTGAAATATATACACATATATACATATATATATAATTTAAACTAATGTATCTGCAAGATACTCGAATTCCATTTAGCCCTAAGCAATTCCCCTGAAATGTAGCTGCCTCCAACATACCCTGTACCCTATACCGTATACCGTATACCGTATACCGTATACCGTATTCCGTATACCGTATACCGTATACCGTATACCGTATACCCTATACCCTATACCCTATACCGTATACCATATACCATATACCATATACCGTATACCGTATACCGTATACCGTATACCGTATACCGTATACCGTATACCGTATACCGTATACCGTATACCGTATACCGTATACCGTATACCGTATACCGTATACCGTATACCGTATACCGTATACCGTATACCGTATACCGTATACCGTATACCGTATACCGTATACCGTATACCGTATACCGTATACCGTATACCGTATACCGTATACCGTATATCGTATACCGTATACCGTATAACGTATACCGTATACCGTATAACGTATACCGTATACCGTATACCGTATACCGTATACCGTATACCGTATACCGTATACCGTATACCGTATACCGTATACCGTATACCGTATACCGTATACCGTATACCGTATACCGTATACCGTATACCGTATACCGTATACCGTATACCCTATACCCTATACCCTATACCCTATACCCTATACCCTATACCCTATACCCTATACCCTATACCCTATACCCTATCTAGACAGCATTTCCTTTGATCAGTTGGCAATTATTCAGCCGGGTCGCTTGGCTACGTGGGGCTTCGCGCGCGCCTTCCAATTAGCTTGACAAATTCGTATAAATCATTTATCATTAGGCTGACGTTTTTTTTATTTCTTTATTTTATATATAAATTAGCACATACGTGCCGTCAAACTGGTTGCCGGCAAGTCAACCGGCTGCCTTTCCCCCCACAGTCCCTGTCGCTATCTGCCCCCCCCCCCTCCGCCCCCCTTGCCCCGCCTGTCATTTCCGCTTGCCTCTCTGGCTCGCGTATCTCAGGCATCTGAGTCACGCGCGACTTTCAAATTGGCCCCAAAATCTGCCCGGCAACAGCGCGAGGTGGCGGCAGTTCAGCCCAGCCAGGCAAACTGGGGCCAAATGCTGTGTATTATTTTTTTTTTCCCAGTGAGAAACTTTCGTTGTGAGAAAAATGTATCTGCAACTGCAACTGCAACTGCAACTGTATTTGTATCCGTATTTGTATCTGTATCTCGCCCATTGACAACAAGTATTATCCTAAAATTAGAGTCCGTCCACGAATCCAACTAAAAAAATTTGCTAACGAATACGAATTTAAAGTTTTGCCAAGAAATTCCACTTCTTTTGTTTTCTGTTTTTGCTTTGGCCCCGTGCCAAAAAGTTTGTGCAAACCCTTTTAGCCCAATCCACCCCAAATCTGGCCCGAGACAACCTTTTCTTTTGACAAGTGACAATATAAAAAAAAAAAACAGAAGATCGTTTCGATCCGACGCAAAGGTTTTGCTTTCCGATGCCTTCAACTTGTTAAAAGCGCACAATCAGCACGTAATTATAGAGATTAGCTCCTAACTTTGCCTAATTCTCAACTTCTTTGCTACAAAACTTAATAGCACACATCTTAGCTATATGCAATAATGCACTTACACAAAAATACTTATGTCAATCGCTGCAAATCCGGCGAGGAACTGCCTTTCAGTTCGGTTTGTAGAACTGGATTCTATTTGAACCTGGCGAGGTCCAGAAAACCCGACTAACTGAGTAATTGTTGAGCAATCCACGAACCAAACCGAAAGAAAGGTGGAAATGTCGTAAATCTAAAAGAAAACTCTGTTAAATGATGTTCGATCTTGGAAAGATAAACCATTTTGTACTCGTGTAAAGATTGGAGCTATAAATGTTTAATTCAGTGAATAACTGAATAATTGTTGAGCAATCCACGAAGCAAACCCGAAAGGGATGGAATGCTGCACTGGCGGAAAACTAAGTGGAAATGTCTTAAATCTAAAGCAACTTGATAAACATTTCGAATTTGATATTCCACGAGTTCAAAATGTTAAACCCTACCTGAATCGGACATTATTTAGACGAGTTTTCTGCATAATTTTGTTTGATTGTAAATGGAATTGGAAATTGCGAACTCGAACCGATTTGCAGCCTTGACTTATATATATATATAAACACATATACGTACAGGCGTTTGCTCGTTATTTGTTGTAATGGAAAACAAAGAGTTCTTCGAGTTTAGCTGTAGTTCATAATATAACTGTAACCGTAACTGTATAGATTGTATTGTACGATTGTCAATAAAATGTTGAGAAGCCAAACCAAAAAAACAATTACATCTATTTCTTTTATTATTTTATTTGTATTTATTCAAAAAACAAACACTTTAAATTAATTCAATTAATATATATAAAAATATAAAATAAAAAAACCATAATTCAGTTCAATTAGCTTATTCAAAATAAAACATAATATGATGGTATAGGTAACTCTTCTGTATAGGGTTTGTATGTGAACGTGTGTGTGTGTGTGTATATGTGTATGTGTGTGTATAATATTAAAGACTGTTCTGTTAACCCAGTGAATACTTTATCGTATGTGAATATAGATATAGATGTATGTGTGCGTGTGTGTGTATATATATGGACGATGCTGGTTCAATAAATAAATTTGTAGAAAATGATTAACGAATACGCGCGTGAATTCGTGAACAAGTGAATTCGTGAACTCGTGAATTCGTGAATTGGTGAACTCGTGAATTCGCAAAACTCGTGATTTCGTGAGTTTATGAATTCGTAAACTCGCGATTTCATGAGCTCGTGAATTCATGATTTCGTAAACTCATGAATTCATAAGCTCGTGAATTTGTGATTTCGTGAATTCGAGCTGAATTTGTGGATTGGTAGGTTTGGTGGTTTTGGTGGTTTCTGGTTGGCTCATAGCCATACACATATATTAAGTAACGGCCAATTAATTACGTTAACTAATGTTGTTTCTTTCTTTCGCCTGAATCGTTAGGAACAATCATTGCTACTTACATAACGAGATTTGTTTACCTGACGCAAACTAAAACTACAAATTAATCAAAGCAAGAACTTAAACAAATATTAGTTGGGGGGGGGGGGGGGGGAATTTGATATATTCCCGAAATTAAATTAGTATTCGTAAATTATTCGATGTTGGAAGAAGATGAAGAAGAAGAAGAAAAGGTGCTTTTAAGATTAAAGTCTAAGCCGGCATTAGATTCTAGAGTTCAACTTAGGGCTAAACTTTTTTGTTTCTTCATTTTTTTTTGGGTTTTTCCTATTTGTTATGTTGTTTTTTTTTTGATTTTGTGGATTTGTTTTGTTTCTTTCTTTGTTTTTTTTTCACGCATCTTCAAAGGCATTTGATCTATCTAACTAACTAAAAATGTGGTTTCGTCAATCCAATAGCCTTGTGTGTGGAATCTTTAGTCTTGATCCTTCTGCAAAGAGTCCAAGCAAAGGTGGGGAGAAGGAAAAATCCAAATTAGCATTACACATAAAAAACACTTTCAATTATTTAATGATTCATCGATTTATCGAGTTATTGAGCTATCGATTTATCATGTTATGGATTCATCGATTTATCAAGTTATCGATTCATAGACTTATCGAGTTCTCGATTGATCAATTTATCGAGTAATTGACTTATCGAGTAATCGACTTATCGAGTTATCGATATAGCAATTTATCGAACGATCAATGTATCGATTTGTCAACTTGTCGAGTTATCAATTTCTCGACTAATCGATTTATCAATTTATCGAGTAATCGACTTATCGAGTAATCGATTTATCGAGATATCGATATACCAATTTATCGATCGATCGATGTATCGATTTATCGATCGATCGATGTATCGATTTATCAACTTGTCGAGTTATCGATATATTGACTTATCGATTTATCAATTTATCGTCTTATCGATCTATCGACTTATCGATTGTGTTAGATACTTACAAGTACGGGGTAAACGAAGGTATCGGCCGAGTCGCGGCCAACGGCATTGTGCGCTATACACTTGTAGTTGCCCATGTCCTCCCATTTGAGATCGGAGATGAGGAGATCGCCGGTGGGCAGCACCTTGAAGCGATGGCTCTGCACGATGTCCTTGTCCTCGTTGTTCCTCCAGGTGATCTTGGCATGGGGATTGGCGTGCACCTTGCAGGGCAGCATTATGGTGGAGCCCATCAGATCGAGATGCGTCTTCTCGGTGTAAATGATGCGCGGCTTCTGTGGACCCGGATACTGTTTCTCGGGCACAATCAGACCGCCCAGCTCCTGGTCGGTGTGCGCCGGATATACCTGAGTGCTGGCATAGATCGTCTTCGAGCCGGTGCGTCCAATGCAGGTATAGGTGCGCGGTCCGCTCAGCATATGATCGACAATGTGCACGGATCGGACGCGCACAATTGCCGACGGCGCATCCTCCGAGAAGGTGTTGGGCGCCAGATTATCGATCTCCGAGAGCGGCATACGGCCGACGACCCACTGGATGCTCGGCACCTGGGAGCCCATCATTTCGCAGGCAATCTCCAAGGTGGCGCCGGGTGTCTGTTGGATTTTGGTGGGCGGCGTCTTGGTGAATTTCAGCCAATCCTCCTCAAAGGCGCGGACACGACTGTGCTTCGATTGGGGCGAGGCCGCCTCCTCCTCCGGCTCAATGGAGTTGTCCACATCGTTGCTGTCGTCCACGATGTCCACGGCGCGACTCTGGGCGCCCGAAAGGCTGCCAAACAGCAGCAGCGCTATGGCGCACAGATTTAAGTTCATTTTCTGCAAAAGGAGACAAGGACACGAGGCGTGGCTTAGTGATGGACGTCAAAGAGGCGGGATTAAAGTTCAAAATCGACTCGGACTATAATATAGGTTAATAAACCCACGATGACGGAGCACAAATCAACATGCACATCATGCTCCTCCCCATCATCATCATCATCATCATCATCATTCTCATGCTCGTCATCATCAACATGAGTTATCAGTTAAAGTCCCGGGCCAGCTAAAGCCGAGGCTATAAATCACAATGTCGACTGATACCGCTCTGGCTCTGGCGATCAGGGCCCCCAGACTGTACCTCAACTATTGCGAAATATTTCATAGTATATTCAAAATGCTGCTGATAACTTTTGCTATTTCATTAAGCAATTCAATTTGTTCTTTGGGGAATATCACAAATAAATTCCATTTCAAAATATTTAAATTGCATTCCTTTGCTTATTCCAAAACTCTCCAAATTTAAATGAACTCTTTATGTCCCAGGCTCTCCCACTCAACTCTCCTTCTCTATTACTCTCTCTCTCCTTTTCATTTGCTTATGGCAAACTCTCCATACTTAAATGAGCTCCTTAACTCTCATTCTCTCCCACTCACTCTCCATTTTCACTCTCTCTCTCACTATGTCTCCATTTTGCATAAGAAGTTGCCGGTAGGCTTAAAGCGAGCGCAGCTCCATGGCTATGTTAATTGCCTGTGAAACGAGGGAGCCGAGGTTCGAATCCTCGCAACTACACACAACGTTTACTTTCTTTTAATTGTTTTTTTTAAATTTTTTTAGGCTTTCATTCCTTTTTTTTTAACTTTATCCATGCAATATTACAACATCAACTAACTTTTATCCACAAAACCAAAAAAAAAACCGTAATTTTTCCAAGTCCAAAAAAGTATTTAGAAAAAATGCAAAACCAAACTCAGAAATCGCAAAATCGATTCCCAATTGATTACCAAAGTTGTTCCCACTGCATTCTTTTTTGGACTCGCGCGTTCCACGCCTTTTCCGATGCCGTATCGAAACTTCCCGTGGAAGATGTCCCCGTTCGACTGGCTAATTTCACAATATCACGCGGTGTGGGACACCGAAATAGAACAAACGATGATTAATTGTGGCGGACATGGGACAAAGAACTCACGTAGGCAGCGGCATTTAAGTGGATCAGAGAAACAAAAAAAAAATAGACAAGAAAAAAAAAATATTTAACAGAATCGAAATTGAAATCACATTTGGTGTGACGTCAGCTCCTTGTTCGAAGCACGCCCACGCGCCATGGATCAAAGGCCGAACATTAGGGCCGGCACCGACTACGTATACCCTACCCTAACATGCGAGACGCCGCGCGTCGCGTCGCACGTCTAGACAAGGGCGTGACCATTAAGTTATTCAATGGGTTCGACGACGTCGTCGATTTTTTTTCGATTTGGTCTATTTTGCATATTATTATTATTGGAGGGGGTCTCTCCGAGTGCCCCGAGTTTGTCTGGCGTTTCGCTGTCGAGTGTTGCATCAGAAAATTTGGACTCGATTTGCCCTTCGGAGTGGGGCTTTTACGCGTTTTTGCTGATTTGCTGAATTGTAGTTTTTTTTCGAAATTCATATGAAATTCGGTTTCGTGGAATTCTCCAGTTCAGGGTATCTCTATTTGGCATTGAAGGGGGTCGAGGCGAGAGGGGGCTACGTTCTGTTTTAGATTTGATTGACTCACCTTTTGATTTGATTTCTTTTTTCTCTTCCGGTAAAAAATGTTTGCAAATTTCTCCCTAACTGGGGGCCGTAATATAACGATGGGCGGTCGCGTCTCCTCTTGTTGTTCTTGTTGGTGGTTCGATCCGCGAACTGGTTCACAGCTCTTTGTTATGTTATGAAGGAGTTTATCAGCTCTAAGTTGTGATGGCTTCGGGTTTGGGCCTTCTGATTGAAATTCAGCAGCAATTGGCTTAACACTGACATAGGTACGGCGCGGGTTGCCGTTTTGGTAGCCTTGCAGCTTAGTTTTGGTGAAATTTTGATTGTTTTTCTTTATTTTGCACGCAAATGCGCTCGGATTCGATTCGATTCGGTTCGGTTCCGGTTCCGGAGCGTTCTTCTTAAGCGGTTAGCTCTTGGTCTCTTCACTTCTCTTCTCTTCTTCTTCACTGTGCCTTGACGTAGCGTATGTCCAGCTGGCGGCTTGGGCACATTCGTATCTCTCTGTCGAAGAGTTGTTGGCGATGTTGGGGGGGTGTTGGGGAGGATTCAGCAAGACTCCTTCTTGGTGGCAACAGCTAGTTGTGGTTTCTTGGCGCGGCACTCTTTCGAATACGCACGGTTCATCGACATTACAAGTCAAAGGTGTCTCAGCTATGTCAGCGGCTTTGGCTGCTTTCAATTTTCTTTCGTTTTGTCTGAATTTGGTATCAAAACGCGCTTTGGTCGACCAAAAAAAACGGTAAACGTTGACGTTGCAGTGGAAAACGTGTGGCAGGCGCAAGCGTACACTTAAGTTGTGTTCAACAGTTGAATACTGTCACAGAACTGAATCGGCAACGGCGCCGACTTCACTTTTATACGCTCAGCCCAGAGCTGGCGACGCCGACGTCGCGACGTCGCAGCGCTGCCTGCTCGCTTGCTCGCTCCCTTGCCCGCGCTCTCGCTCTCTCCCACTCACACGCTCAGACGCTCTCTTTTAGACAGCTCGTTGTTGCTGCTGCTGCTGCCGCTGCTGCTGCCGCCTGGCCCCTTCGTGCTGATGCTGGGGTTCGTGCAGTTCGGTTTCGGTTGCGGTTACGGTTCGGGCCACATAGCACACACACGAGATGCGCGCATTCACTAAATTAAATGCCACCGCTGATCGAGCCGGAACGAAACGGTTTTGGAACCGGCCCAAAGAACAGTTCATTTATGACATTTTTATTTGCTGTTTTATTTGAATGCAGTTTGAGCTGCAATTGCAAACTGGATACGTAGGCCGAGCTGGGAACACTTTTGACTAGGTACAGTTCCACACTGACGCTGGCATGACCCGCACTTTCAATTCCTAGCGAATAGTGGTTTTACCCTTGACTCAATGCAGTCGGAACCAGTTGACACAGCGGCGACAAGAATTCAAATGTATGGCAAGGCGTGCACTGAGCGAAAAGAACCAGCTCCAGTTTCCCATTCACAGTAATTAATTTGAGAATTGTTGTGATTGTTTAGAACGACAAACTGCACCTAAATGCAGGTACTTTCTTTTCATTTGACTTGTCTGCATTCTTTGCATTTGTTTTCGTTCAGTGTAGCGATTCTTGTGCTGCTTCTTTCTACCGCATTCGTACATACGTGCCAGGCGGCATGGCTTTTTGTCGACTGCGGCTGCGGCTGCCCAGGCGAGCTGCGCGGCTTGCTGCAAGGTTTCCATTAGCCGCGACCCAAGACGCTTGTTCGCTGTCTGTTTGTCTCCCCCTCCCCCCCCCCCTGCCATGCCCCCTTGCTTGCAGTATTCATTGCAATCAAGTGAGTGCCAGTTTGTCTGGTGCGATCGGTCGTCGTTTGAGGGCAGCAAAAAACCACAATGCAAGCGGCACTGATTGCCAGCCCGGCCCAAGCTAGCTTCAAGGGGGGGATGGGTGGGGCAGGCGTAGGGGGGGCGCAGGGGGCAGGGGGGGCAGCCACAATGGCAGACAGACTGGCAGCAATTCAACGCGATCGCGTGTTCGCTTTGCGCTGCCAAGCGGGGGTGAGGGGAGGGAAGGGAAGGGAAGGGGGCTTGCTTGTTGCTGGGCGGCAGCCAGTTTGTGTTCTCCTCTCCCCACCCCTCCCCTCTCCCGCCCTCTCCCTCCTCTCGTTCGTTGCGCTGGCTCTGACTAGTTTTATTTATTTGTCGGCAAGTTCTACGACGAGAGCAATATATATTTAATGCCCATTACACAAATCGCACCGCGACACGCCCCCCTTCCCCGTTTTTTTTTTTGCCACATTTGGCAGCTGGCAACGATTGTCGGCGAAATTCAATTGATTGAGAAAAAAAACAAAAAGAATACAAATGTTGCAGGTGCTCGAGTTGATGTCTCGTGCCGCCCGTTCCGGCCCTTGGAGAGAGAGACGGGACGGCACAGCTCAAAGGCGCGGCTACGTAACAGGTTGACGTAACAGGTAAGGGCGTAAGGGTGTACGGCGTAAGGGACGTAAGATCGATAGATCATCACAGATCGATCGATCGACATATTTCCTATCGATTCAATTAACGCGCATCGTTGGGGCTTTCATTGACGTTCCAGGAAAACTCAGTCGCAATACGGATGCAATCTTTGAACTCACACTAAACTGCCGTACAGTTCCCGATTTAATTCAGCGGCAGCTACACTGAGCGAAAAAAAGGGCTATACTAATTGGAATTCATAGAGATCTAAATTCTGGGACATTGCATTCTCAGATATTCCTAATATGAAGCAGGAACCATAAACTTATGTATATCAACAGATTTTTGGAAAATGTTAAAATGTTATGTTAAATAAAATATGTTAAGTGTAAAAATCAGATATTCCCAATGTTAAAATGTAATGTTAAATAAAATATGTTAAGTGTAAAAATCAGATATTCCCATATGAAGCGTGGAATCATATATCAAAAGATTTTTCGAAAATGTTAAAATGTAATGTTAAAAGAAATGTTAAGTGTAAAAATCAGATATTCCCAAATGAAGCATTGAATCATAAACTCATAAACTGTAAAAAAACTTAATTGGAAAATATTAAAATGGACTTGATTGAAGTGTAAAGAATTATCAAGCTTAAATTAAGTTCAAAATATGCTCCATGTAGGCACAAAAATTTATCGATTAAGTATCTGAGAAAGGTTCTTTAATAAGAATGTGGAGCAAGGCTCAAGAAATTTGCATCTTACGCACTTAAAACAAGTATTTCTAGGCTTAAAATAAGCAAAACATTTTTTAGACGGAGTATCTGCGTCTTATGCTATAACAAAGGTGCCTTGAACATAAAGGAAAAGCACGGCTCAAGAAATTTGCCGCTTGCACTTGACTTCTGCGCAAAGTACTTGACTTTTTCGCCAAGTGTATGAATAGAGTTTGCCTAAAATGAGCTCGAACAGGCCAGATACAATACATATTCATAGGCAGCGGCAGAGGCTGGCACCAAATGGCGATCGATCGCGACAAAGCATCAATTTATTACCCCCCGAAAAAAGAAAAAAAGAAGATACAATTTCCTAGAAATCTGCGGGCCACAAGAAAGAAAGGTCGAGATCTCTGGGCGAATCGTACGATCGTCCGAGCGTATGTGGCGATCGTATGATCGTTGCCATCAAAATGCTTTGATGGCAACCAATTATTGCATCATGCCAAATGCAACAACTAAGCGTGCTCTAGTCGGCACTGCCCGACTAGCAGATACTCTTTCCAGCTTCATTCTTCCCGAAGCCTCATAATATGGCAGATGTGTTCTTTAATAACTTGGTTGCTTTCAAGTCGATCTTTGTGAAACTTTCAGGGTTTGTTTGTCGCATGAAAATGTGTGAATATACCACAGCCTGAAGATCTAGCTTTAAAAATGGGTTCTATTCTATTTTTGGGGGGAATTATGGGAGCTATCTAAAAATTGTTATATTCCTAGTCTGCGTAGACTATGCGAGAGCCTACATATTTAATTTGGAGCATCTAGCTGGCATTGTTCTCGAGTTATGCTTAAAAAACCAAGACTTAAAATCGATACTAATCGATTTTATGAAAAAATATGGAGATATTAAAGGAAAAATTAAACCTACTTCTTAGTTTTGTAAATAAGACAAACGGATCAAGAATATATGTATATATATACTATATTGGTCTCAAAATCGATACTTATCGATTTTATGAAAATAAACGGAGATATTGTAGAAAAAATGATAGGCTACTTCTTAGTTTTGTATAGGGGACAAACGGATATGGCCTGATCAGGTATATATATATACTATATTGGTCTTACAATCGATACTTATAGATTTTGGTCTAGGAGAACATGACCTGATCAGGAATATATATGTATATACTATATGGTAGCTGCCTGCCTTGACACAAATCAAGATGCCTTTTTGCCCATTTACAATGGGTTCAGGGTATAACAACGAATGGCTTGTCTCTCAGCTCTCAGCTCTGAGCTCTGGGCAGGTGGGCGAGCTGGTTGGCTGTGGTTGTGGTTGTGTCTGTGTCTGTGGCAGCAGAAAGATGCACACTTGTCTAGCAAAAATTGGCTTGCTTCCGCTAATGGAACCGAAAGATACTCGGCACGGCCGTCAACGTTTGCACTTTTCTGCTAATTAACGTCGTGCAAAACGGCCAACGGCTCCGACGGAGCAGCCACCGGAACTGGGCTGAGACGCGGCTTAATGGTGAGGGGTGAGGGGTGAGGGGTGCGGGCTGAGGCGAGGGTAACGGCTCATTCAAAGTCAGCAAGCAGACAGACAGACAGACAGACAGACGGACAGACAGACAGAGATATGCAGTTCGGGGAAAGATAGTGCAACATGCAACAGACGAGACCAGTCACAGAAACGCACACACACAGACAGACACACATATACATGTGAATTGCAGGTTGTACGAATCATGTATGTGTATGTAAGTAAGTATGAATATGTATATGTATAGGTGTAGTCTACACCGGGTGACGACGTGAGAAAATTCATGTGTATGCCACAAATTCTGTGCCGTTGCCAATGTGTGTGTTTTTTTGTTGTATTTTTTGGTTTTTTTCGTTGTGCCTGTGTCATTGATAAAGTCCAAAAACTGCGCTTGGCAACAGCCTCGACCGACCTCGACCTCGGGCTGGGCATTCAAAGAAATGGTCAACAGGCGATTCCATTGAATTTCCGAGCTGTACATTTGGCAGCATCATTAACGGGTCCAGTTCGAATGTGTTTTGAGGTTAGGTGCGACGTGCATGACGAGCACTTTTCCAGCTGAACTTGAATTGACCGTAAATTTCCCTTTCAAGCGTGTATAATAGAAACTCGTATACGTATAAGATCTTTTGGTGCTACGTATAACACTTACACTGTACACATGCTCTCCGTTTATATTTGTAGTTGTGTTTGAAGCAAATGTAATGGAAAATTTTTGAAACCACTTTTTTTTTTGGGCGTATCATAAGTGTATGGAAAATTTTTGATGTACGCGTAATCGTAATGAATTACAATTAACGCTAATCGTTGTACTGTTAAAAGGCATTAGCATTAACTAAGTAGTATATGTATGTATATTACAATATTTACTGTGTTCATATCTAGAAAACGTTCGCACTTCCTCAAACGCTCATTCATATACGACATATGACTGAGTGTGCGTGCGTGTGTGTGTGTGTGCTATTGTAATTTATCAATTAACCTATGGAGTGTGCTATGCCTACATTTTTGTATATCGTTATACACTGTGTGCGTGTGCGTGTGTATGTGTTCTTCTGCTTCCCTTGCATTCTTTGCGCGCATAAATTGAACTATGTGTGCGTGTGTGTGTGCGTGCCCTGTCTCTGGTTACCTTTTGTTGAGTTGTGCAACCAAAATGAGCAC